GACGCACAACGGCATAAGCTCACTTGGCCCTTCGGCCCACGTGAGCGAAAAAGTTAAGTATAACTTTAAGTTAAGTTTGTCAGGACAATGAGTTGATCAGTCCTAGACCGAGTTTCAGTTAATACGGCCTATTAGAACTTCATTTTAATTTTAATTTCCCCCCCCCCCTCCAAAATGGCAGTCATGGCGACCGTATTGGATTTTTGATGGACCATAAGTTGATCATTCCTACCAAGTTTCAGTTAAATCGGCTCATTAGAACTTGACTTTAAGTTAGAAATAGTTTTTTAAAATGGCGGCTGTGACAGCCATATTGGATTTCTGATTGACCCCAAAAATAACAACAATTTGTCAAGAACATAAGTTGATCATTCATACCAAGTTTCAGTTATATTGGCCCAGTAGGACTTGACTAAAAGTTTGAAATAGTTTTTTAAAATGGCCGGCCCTAGCGGCCATATTGGATTTTTGATCGACCCAAAAAATAACAACACTTTGTCAGGAACATGAGTTGATCTTTCCTACCAATAGTTTTTCAAGCTAAAGCTCAGGTGACCTAAAAATCTTTCAAAAATAACAGACACAGAAAGTGAAGTTCATAGCTTTTTTATAAGAATTGTTTTGAGTAAATAATATCTACCTGTCTAGGTGTTTATGATAAAAGCTATCATCATGCAGCTGTCTATACATACTATATACATAACTGAATGACTAGATTATGATACACAAATGTATACGGCTGAACAGGAATACTATATATGGGCATGAACTTATACATCTACGTGTAAATGATGGGATACTTCTCTCAAATATATAACTTGATACCAACAAGAGTACCGCAGGGCAGAACAATATATGCCTAAATATACTTAAAATCCTTCTGATGCATTATTGTATATAAATGTATGAAACTGTACTACATTTGTACTGTATTACTTAGTAAAGTTCCGAACTATTTCTGTGATGTGCCAAAAAGAAATAAACATGCTGTACTTGACTCACTTAAACTGAAGGAATGTATTTATTTCATGTATATCCTTTAAAAAGATTGATTTGCATAGGAATTGCTTCCCTTTGTCCATACCTCAAACAATGAAAATAGAAACAGCCCCCGCCCCCCCATTTTGCCAATATTACTGGCAGATTAAGCTATTAGACTAAGTGTAAATATTGACCAAGTCTCACCAGAATCCTGTGATATCCTATAATATTGACTATGACCTGAAGGCAGATATGCCTGTGTTCAGAATAAACTAAGCTAAACTTAGATAAATAGTGTGTGGAAACCATCAACCATTAAGAGCGCAGTATGCTAACTTATAATGCGTAGATTTTTCTCAACTTTGAAATGAGCCTCAGTCTTTTTATGTTTCACTTGCATACCAAGTTGCAACAAGAGATCCCAGAGGGATCTTGGCGCCCACCATTGTACCATCTTCATTAGTTCTTAGTCAGTTCGATCTTTTCTCTTCTTTCCTCTAATCTGTTTGAACGAGTCATGTTAACAGTAAATGCAGCTTGAGGTAACTTTTGATCTGAACTTAATTCTGATGTGTATGAAAGCCAACCTTCAAAGTGAGTTTGTCATTTCACATATTTACTAGTACAGTACTTAATGTGAAAGAAATAGAATCGATCATTGCAATATGAGAAAGATCCCTCAAGTTATTCCTGAGAAATAGTACTAACAAACCTTCAATGTGAAAAATTGAAGATGGCTGTCAGTAGGCCATTTTGTTTAACTGATCAGTTTCAAAAGTAAACATGAACAATAAAGGATAGTGGGGAACCTGCATTGGCTGGCCCAAAATTTTTTTTTGGGCAAGTGAAAAATTTGAAGCACTGGCCCAAATGACATATAGGTGGCCCAAATAATTCTGGGAAGAAATATTTCCACAGCATTTAAGACAATGCTTCAGCACATTTAAATTACAAATAACATGACAATGTTAGTATTAATTAAAAAAGAATAAAACATTGTTTTTTTTTAATTCTTCAACCCTAGTTAAAACCTGACATGATCCACTCCATTCAGGTATTCCCAAAAAGAAATACACAAAACTCGCACCTCAAAGAAGACACCCTGGCAGTATTTATATAGAAAATCTAAAAAAAATATCATCACATTTTCTAAATCACGGACAGATCGATTCAAATCGAAGTAATGACAACTAAAAAATGTAATGCCCCCCAGTTTATGTTTAAGGGACTATAATTTTTTTTATTCATTAAATTTTGACAGTCGCCCCAACTATTTTTGTTGGGTCAGTGACTACCTCACTTTTGACAACTTTTGGTCGCTCGAGCAAGACTTTAACCGCCATTGGCAAGCAGGCGACCGTCCATTTCAGGCACTGCTGCTCAACAAGGGAACAAGGGGAACCTACATATAAAATTTGAGAAAGATCCATCCCATACTTTCCGAGAAATAGTGATAACAAACTTTCATGATCAAAATCAAAGATGACTGCTTGTTGGCCATGTTGTATATCCGATCAGTCTCAAAATGTGCACTGCACAGCTAGGGACCAAGGGAAACCTACATATAAAATTTGATAAAGATCCATCCCATACTTTCCGAGAAATAGTGATAACAAACTTTCATGATCAAAATCAAAGATGACTGCTTGTTGGCCATGTTGTATATCCGATCAGGCTCAAAATGTGCACTGCACAGCTAGGGACCATGGGAAACCTACATATAAAATTTGAGAAAGATCCCTCAGGTACTTCCTGAGAAATAGCGAGAACAAACTTTCACTATCAAAATCCAAGATGGCTGCCTGTCGGCCATGTTGTTTATCCAATCAGTCTCAAAAGTTGCCCTGCACAACTATGGACCAAGGCGACCCCTACATTTAAGAAAGATCCCTCTGGTACTTCTTGAGAAATACCAATAACAAGAATTGTTTAAGGACGGAAGAGGGACGGACGACGGACGGACGACGGACCACAGACACAGGGTGATTTGAATAGCCCACCATCAGATGATGGTGGGCTAAAAATTTAAATGACACCTATGCAAGTTATCTTAAGGAAATTTAAGTGTCAACGGAATAGTAAAATCTATAACAAAATTGGCTGGCAAAACAAGTATGGTGTTATTAAATTTTGATGTCAGATTTTTAACCTAGAAGTTCTGCTGTGAGGTGGTTTTTTTTGCTGTTTTCTAACAGATGCTTCAGAAATTTAATTTTAATATTTCAATAAACGTTATTGTGAATTAAAACTATAAATACACAAATAGAGATAAAAGTATTTTCCTCATAGAGATGTACTCCTGTATAAATGCAAATGTACAACTATTCCCAATTTAATCATGGGTCTATGAACATTTGTAGAGATACAATTATTCTCTATAATGTCTTGTATAAAAACATGAATAGAGATGTATTCCCCGAAATTATGTTCATGTGATCACAGTGTTCATATTACATTATCAATAAAGATACTAAAACATAATTTTGACAAAAATAGGTGACTTAAAAACATTAACATGTTGTTTGTAAAACTAACACTTAAATACAAGTAATACCAAAATATCTTTCTTAAAAATTGAAGATATTACTCGATCAAAATTTAGATATTTTAACAAGTGAAGCTGAAGAAGAATCAATGCTACAAATTTCAGAACTGGACTTTTATGAATAGGCTAATTATGTAAAATCATGTATTATACAGATTGAGCACTAATACAGAAAAGATGCTGAAATACATGCATACATATAAAAATCATATACACTATTAAAGGAATTGTTTTCATCAAGTCAAAATTTGTTACATCTCCCTTTGGTGTATCACATATATCGTTTGTATTACTGTACAAGTTGTGTAAGGCTTTGTACAGCCTTAGATAAAAGTCTTTTTCTCAACTATTTACCTTGTTTACCTGTGGGTAGTGGGAATAGCTTCATCATCAAAACATGTAACCATGTTTAGGCAAAATCAAATGGTAAACTGACTGGAGGCAAAGGTTGCCTGCATTCTGCTTGAAACCTACTTCATTTCCGACACCATTCAATTACACTATCAGAAGAGCGGACATTTGACGTCCCCATTGTAGTTGGCCGATCTTTACTGTACCAAATAGTGGGGGTTTGGGGGGATTTGATGACACCAGTATTTTCACTCTATAACAGTGTGGGAGGCCAGTATAGATATCCCCAGTGGAGGTTAATAAAAGCAGAACAGCTATTTGAAGTCTACGTTGTAGATGTGTTCAGTTTAAAAAGGCAAGGGTACAGTCGTATTTGATGTGTCCAGTGTAAATTTCTTAACTGTATAACCCTTTCTCCACTGAAGACCATAATGGCCTCATCCAGATCAATGAATAGTAGAGTCTACTGAAGTTACATAGGGTTGAAATGGATAAGGCAGGGTACAGCCCTATTTGATGTGTCCAGTGTAAGTGTCTTTACTATGAAAGGAAGGGTACAGCCCTATTTGAAGTGTCCAGTGTAGATGTGTTCACTGTATAAGGCAGGGTACAGCCCTCTTTGATGTGTCCAGTGTAGATGTGTTCTCTGTATAAGGCAGGGTACAGCCCTCTTTGATGTGTCCAGTGTAGATGTGTTCTCTGTATAAGGCAGGGTACAGCCCTCTTTGATGTGTCCAGTGTAGATGTGTTAACTGTATAAGGCAGGGTACAGCCCTCTTTGATGTGTCCAGTGTAGATGTGTTAACTGTATAAGGCAGGGTACAGCCCTATTTTATGTGTCCAGTGTAGATGTGTTCCCTGTATAAGGCAGGAGAACAGCCCTATTTGATGTGTCCAGTGTAAGTGTCTTTACTATGAAAGGAAGGGTACAGCCCTATGTGAAGTGTCCAGTGTAGATGTGTTCACTTTATAAGGCAGGGTACAGCCCTATTTGATGGGTCCAGTGTAGATGTGTTCACTGTATACGGCAGGGGTACAGCCCTATTTGATGTGTACAGTGTAGATGTGTTCACTGTATAAGGCAGGAGGACAGCCCTATTTGATGTGTCCAGCCCACGTGTCTTTACTGTATAAGGCAGGGTACAGCGCTATTTGATGTGTCCAGTGTAGATCTGTTCACTGTATAAGGCAGGAGTACAGCCCTATTTGATGTGTCCAGGGTAGGTGTCTTTACTGGATAAGGCAGGGTACAGCCCTATTTTATGTGTCCAGTGTAGATGTGTTCACTGTATAAGGCAGGAGTACAGCCCTATTTGATGTGTCCAGTGTAGGTGTCTTTACTGTTTAAGACACGGACAGACTTTTCATCAAAAGTCTAGAAGGCTGGTCCTACTTTACTGTCAGGTGAGAGCTTGCTTAGTACAATACAACTGGTATATCTGTTTGCTCAAATTTTGTCCGAGATTTCTGAAAAGGAAAATGAACACAACTTAAAATTCTGACCATTCAGAATAATCTTTGTTAACAAACATTTCCAATCCATCATTTTCTCTTTACAAAGAAAATACTACTACATGAAACATGGAGATGCAAGGTACATTTTATTCAAATACAAAAAATACCATAATACAACTGAACAGTTTAATTGTACTGTACAGTGCTTATAATATATCATAGGGTTAGGAAGCACGGTAGTCTAGTGGTAGGACGCCGGGCTTGTGACCGAAGGGCTGTGAGTGCCGAAATGGCAGCACCGGCTGTATGCTCCCCAGGGAGTTGAGAAAAATATTGGCTGTTTGCAAAGGCCCTATAACCACGGATTACAATTTGTGAAATGCTTTGAGACAACCTACGAACTAGGTTGTGATAAAGTGGTATATAAGAATGTCGAAATTTTCAGCCTTCAAATGATGGTGTTGTACAAACCTCATGGCCTTTCCAGACTTGATGTTACTCAGCAGATTTTCCTTGTCCTTAACACTGACACAGTTATCATAGGCCTCTAGGATACTGGGGAGATATCAAAATATAAACACTTTTTAAGGATTGTAAAATATTAACATTCATCTAACATGCAATGTTCAAATACTTGTACATATATGGTGTACATGTATAGTAAATGATCAAATATTTAATTCTTGAGATTTGATAGTAAGATGGGGTCAGCTAGGTGATTAGGTGTAGGTGTCTTACTGAGATGGTGTAGTTGACTTACTGAGATGGTGCGGATGACTTGCTGAGATGGTGTAGGTGACTTACTGAGATGGTGTGGGTGAGTTACAGAGATGGTGTATGTGACTTTTACTGAGATGGTGCAGATGACTTGCTGAGATGGTGTAGGTGAATTACTGAGATGGTGTGGGTGAGTTACAGAGATGGTGTAGTTGGGGCGGGAGACTTACAGAGATGGGGTGTGATACTTGTCTGTGACAGCTTTAGCTTTTTCTGCAGACATTCCATTCAGCTGAATTAACTGCTTCCCAAACATTTCTCTGACAGTCAGTGCCTGTTAAAGTTAGAAAACGTTTGTACATATAACTTAATATGACATCAAAAAATTCATGTCTTAATATTTAAGTTTGGAAAAAATTGTGTTATTATCAAATAATTCAATTCAAAAAGTGTTTTATTTTAAACACCAAATGATAGATTGAAGTTTAGGACCAGTCAGTGTATTACCTTAGATTTAACAGAGCCCTGATTAAACTGGTCAAACGTCAGAAGTCTTTGTTCTGCATCATTGATGTGACCTTTGCCTTGAAGGTCATCTGGACTGGTAGCATACAGAGTTTTGTTCTGAAATAAGACACTAGAACTGTAATATGAAGCTGTGGAGGTTGTATACCAGATAAATACCTATGTCAGGTTCTGAGTTTATCAGTTCTGTTCAATGTGGAAATAACTGTCAGATGAACTCTCAGTATTCTTTGGTAATTTTTGTCCTAGACATGACTTATTACTCTTTACAACAAAATGTTGTCAAATGATTAATATAGAAAAACATAAATTAAGAAATAAATGAAATATTGCCCAGAGATAATATATTTGACATTATGTGGTTAACAAGAACACCAACAGAATGTGTCGTAGTCATCCTCCACTCTGGTTCACTGCTCACCCTGTAGTAACTGTGGATGTAACGCGTCATCGTAGCGAGATACACCACAGACTCTTTTGTGTTTCCTGTCCGCTTTATTTGGAATCCATCAATAATCTGAAAACACAGACATTCATCTATTCAGATTTTCACCTCCAAATGTAATCAATTAATCAGTTTTGCATAAAATAAAACACACACACACACACACACACAAATGCTCATAACATCTGAGGCCTTGCAACAATTTCACAAAAAATAAAATATTAGTACTTCTCTCAACTGCTATAAAACATCTTTAATACTCTCATAAAAACATTGTGAAATATGTTCATACCAAGACATAAAACAGCATCTAAGATGTTTTCAGGGCACACACATAGAAAAGTTCTCTCATAGAGCTTCAAATATCCATAATATTACAAAAGGCATAAAACATCTGGGATGCTCTTACAGGGCATGACACAACTGGCACCCTCTCAAAAGGCGTGACCAGAGGTGTACCAATATGTCAAAGCAATTTATCTGTAGGCAACTTGATAGCCTTTTCATCAAGCTAAATAAGGAGTGAAACTTCATAAATCTAGGCCTTAAGCTCTGTCTTAAGACATTTAACTTTTGTCATAACAAGCTATAGGCTAAAAATTAAAATTTTAAGGCTTTATGGTTCTAAAGGTGCAGGCAACACATATGGAATATTTTACCAGAGAAATGCTGTCACAAAAAATGTACAATCTAGAGTGACCAAGCACAGTATTAACACCAGAAATTCTCTCTTACAGGGCAAAAACAAATGAAATGCTCTCAAAGGGAATACCACATTTAATCACTTTCTCCTATCATTTACCAAAAGAAAATTGATTATAAAGGCTTTTCTCAGCTACACTGACCTGTAAGTTTGTAATAGTCTGTGTTATCCTGTCCTCAGCTATACTGACCTGTAAGTTTGTAATAGTCTGTTTTATCCTGTCCTCAGCTATACTGACCTGTAAGTTTGTAATAGTCTGTTTTATCCTGTCCTCAGCTATACTGACCTGTAAGTTTGTAATAGTCTGTTTTATCCTGTCCTCAGCTATACTGACCTGTAAGTTTGTAATAGTCTGTTTTATCCTGTCCTCAGCTATACTGACCTGTAAGTTTGTAATAGTCTGTTTTATCCTGTCCTCAGCTATACTGACCTGTAAGTTTGTAATAGTCTGTTTTATCCTGTCCTCAGCTATACTGACCTGTAAGTTTGTAATAGTCTGTTTTATCCTGTCCTCAGCTATACTGACCTGTAAGTTTGTAATAGTCTGTTTTATCCTGTCCTCAGCTATACTGACCTGTAAGTTTGTAATAGTCTGTTTTATCCTGTCCTCAGCTATACTGACCTGTAAGTTTGTAATAGTCTGTTTTATCCTGTCCTCAGCTATACTGACCTGTAAGTTTGTAATAGTCTGTTTTATCCTGTCCTCAGCTATACTGACCTGTAAGTTTGTAATAGTCTGTTTTATCCTGTCCTCAGCTATACTGAAATGCTGCATGGAGCCATACATCTCTATCAGAAATATGGCATTATTGATTCCACAATGTTTCAGTCGGAACTACAAAATAATAACAATATATCACTTAATAGATCACATTTTTGTTGTTGAGAACTGTATCAGTGATTGGATAGTTAATGGATTTATATTTCACATAAAGCTAAATGGTCAACGGAACGAACAATGTAAAAGGGGACAGTAAAAAACGTATCATCTTAATACAATGCCACTTCTTTCATTTTCTTACCAGGAACATTTTCCACGTTCTGTATAACAAGGTTTTACTGCCGGTCGGCATCACCTTAATACATTAAGTTTGAATCTTAAATGATAGTGCACTCTGAAAATAAAATATCAGTGTTTTAACTATGCTGAAAGTCTATGCCAACCTTTGACCTAGGATCGTGATATAGATTGAGACTATGTATGTACATCATTAAGACCAAATCTCTGAAATCTGTTTGAGTCACCAAACACTGTTGGCTGTGAAAGTCAACAATACTGGACAGTGTTTGAATGTTGTTAGGCAACTATTTATTGTTTATCTCAGGGCAGATCATGGTGCAAGTACTGATGGTCTGTAAAGTTCAATGTTATTTGTTTTTACAAATAATTGAAAGGAATATCATACAGAGATGGCGGGGAGATGCCTACAGAAAGTTTCCCTTTATTTTTTTAGATAAATAGGAACGTATGGGTTTCACCTTCTGGTCTGGAAGTCTGCCATCTATACAGCTGTGAACCAGGTCATCCATCCGCTTCCTCTCCACCACATAGTCCAGGACAAGTTCTCTCCCCTTTCCTTGGTTCACTCCCCCTACAGTAATCAAATTAAAGTATATATCCATCAACCATTCACACCAGGAGAGGAACCTGACATCTTTTGATCAAGAGTGATAGAAATTTTATAGAAGTCACCTGTATATGATCTCCTACTGGTAGCCACAGACTCTACACCACACAGTAGCTTTGTCTGTAGTTTCTTGACTGACTGGCTGATCACCAAGTTTGTTATACAGGCATTCTTCTAAAGTTTTTAAAAAGAACAAAAATGAACTTAATCTCTGCCCATGCAATTGTTAAATGACATACCTGAAACACTGTCGTAGAATGTTTAATTGATGATATTTTTTAATTGTATTGTATATCCATGTTTAATTTAAGATTGGTTGTAGACCTGTTAACAGATAACTCTGTACTTTATTGCACTAGCGATCACAAGCATTTTTATATGGAGACAAGGTTTAATAACATCTTATTATATCAAAACTACCTCACCATGCCATCCATTGCCGGTTTCTACACCGTTGTGCACAAATTACAACAACCGTTCTTAGTGCTAGATATCTAGTAACTGTTCATGGGGTACATTAAACCTTTTTGTTTTATACCACACTGATAGACCAGTACACCCAATGCTGCTACTGACAAAATCACAAGACTGTATACAATTACTTACTCAAACTTGATTATGTGAAAAAGCTGAACTTCACAAACTGATCTTTCAAGGACATCAATTCACATTTCACTTAATGGAACCGGGAATGTTTAAATAATTGTTCTCATAATATTGGAATGTACTATTACTGCTTATGCAAACTGGTATGAAAATATGTATCACATGCAATAAAGGTGAAGTACAGTATAAACTATTGTCTGATAGACGTAATGTGATATCTGTGTTAAAGATTACCACTAACAGTTCTGTTAGGTTATTTAACGTCACTGGTACACACACCTAGAACAGGATCTGTCTTCTCCCTTGCCACCCAGAGAAGATCTCCTACTTGAAGTTTCCTCAGGTCACAGTTCACCCCGTTCTTCATCAGATCTGGCAGTAAGGTCTTACTTCCATTTTTTCTGGGTACCACAAAGAGAAAATGTTTAATGCATATCATAAACTATAAAAAAACAACAACCCATTTTATGCATAGTTTCTTAAAATATTTTCATTGAAATACACATTTGTAAGTACTTGATATTACCAGATCTCATATCAGTAAATCTTAATTCTGTGATAAATATTACAAAATTCTATGTGGCCTATTTTGAAGTCTTATTCTGAAGTCAGGCTCAATTTTTTGAGATTCAAGGATATTTCATAAAATGATTTTGAAGATTAACGAGCAATGCCTACCCTGAACCATAGAACTCCTGATTATCTATACAGAGAATGATGTCAAAGTTTCCTGGGGTGAGGACAAAATCTGGTCTCGGTAAACTGGCCGCAGAGGACATAGAGCTGATACTGCGAATGGACTCCTGGGACTCCTGAGAGCTGGCTAGTGTTTCCATGGAGCTGGGCGGTGGACAGGTGGGCAGTTTATCAATGAGGCTCGGTAGATACGGCTGGGATGCAGCTGCAGACAGTTTCACAGACAAAGGCTTGTTGGGTTTACTTCTTGGCTTCGGTTTTACTTTCTTTCTATTGCTGGAATCTACAAGTAATTTCATGAGGCTGGGACAAATATAAAATTAACAATCAGAAACTCTAATTTTCTCTTAAGAGATAAAGTTTACCATGTGTCATGGATAATACAAGTATCCCTCAATGATGACACAGGTATCCTTCAATGATGACACTTGTATCCCTCAATGATGACTCATGTATCCATCAATGATGACACATGTATCCATCAATGATGACACTTGTATCTATCTATAATGACACATGTATCCATTTATGATGACACTTCAATCCAACAATGATAAAACATGTATCATGGAGGGATTTTACATGTCGGCTGTGTCTATTGTGTCTTAAACATAACAAAACTTCAGTAGTAAAATCATACCTGTGGTAACAAACCTTGCATCAGTAAAATCATACATGTGGCAACAAACCTGACATCAGTAAAATTATACCTGTGGTAACAAACCTGACTTCAGTAGTAAAATCATACCTGTGGTAACAAACCTGACTTCAGTAAAATCATACCTGTGGTAACAAACCTGGCATCAGCAGTAAAATCACACCTGTGGTAACAAACCTGACATCAGTAGTAATATCATACCTGTGGTAACAAACCTGACATCAGTAAAATCATACCTGTGGTAACTGTAGTGGAGACAGAAGACTTGCTAGGATATCCGTTGGTAACAATTGGTACAGCCTGTCTTGTCATAGGCTCATCATCAAACGAGGGTAAACTTTGAGGTCCCAGACGATGAGATACCAAACAGTTGTCATTTCCTCTATCTTCATCATCAGACAAGTTAAAGGAAGGCAGCCTGGGAGGGGGAGCACATTCCACCGCCCTTTCTGGGGCATCATTGTCATGGAGATGAGCATACACTTTGTCACCCATAGGTCTACAATAATAACAAATATGGTTGGGGTCAGATTTAGGGATATTGTTGGTATGTTCATCTAACTACAATTAATAAAACAAGTATGAGTTTACTGCACAGGAAAGCCAAAAAGGGACATTGGTTCCCAAACATACATGTATTTCAAAATTTATTCTTTAAAAAAATATTTATATTCAATATTTTACACAAAGTTTGCTGGCTATTATATAATTATCCTTAAAACTGTCTTGCACGTATGTACTAACCTGCTCATGTCCAGCTTATAATGTTTCCCACTTGTGAGTAATCCATGGTAATCACAGTGTACTAAAAACCCAATTCCAAAGTCCTCTGTAACCAAAATATATCTCTGACATTAAATATCTCACAAATCAAAGGTATTACATGACCGACGCGAGACACACAGGGCCAGGGGAGCTGACAACACATATACACACAATACACTGGTTAGCTGGTTCAAGTTATTGTACAGCATATTAATTTCATTTGAGAATAAACATTTTACAGAAATAATGGTACGTACCATCAATGAGGACTTGTGCTTTATCCTTTGTCTGAACTGGTCCACCAGCTTCATCAATATACACAAACTCCAGGCCAGATCTGATGAGAAACATTTCATAAAATATAAATTTCCTTTATTTCAAACTTGAGAACATGAGAAACAATACAAAGTGAGCTACTTTTGCATACAAAGTAGTAGGATTGACTTCCAAACCCATGTCATAATGCTGTTAGTATGTCATCTACACCAATTGCTGCCAAGGAATTTAAGCTAATATCAGCTGTGGACCGGTCAACAAACTTACCATAAAGCATTAACTCTCCTATTTCATGGCATTTTATTTTACCATCAGTTACATCTGGCCAAGTGTTCCAGCCTACCTTTATGAGGCTAAATTCAGGTTCCTTAGTTGATAAGCTGGAGTTCATCTGCACCGATTCGTAAGGGTGGCATATTTCATAGAGAATTTTCATTTGCACATTATTGAAACAAACAACAATAAAAGGTAAACTATATTTTTGAACTTCCATGATATACATGAATTGAGCTAGCTAATTTAAGGACTTTGTGTGTTAATAAGTAAAATACAATTATTTTACATTAATTCCTTTCCAGCTTACCTTACATCTGTATCATGCCTTGTGTGCTGGTCAGAGAGCCTCCTAGGACTGTCCAATGATAACCTGTCCAGCTTACCTTACACCTGTATCATGCCTGGTGTGCTGGTCAGTGAGTCTCGTAGGACTGTCCAATGATAACCTGTCCAGCTTACCTTACACCTGTATCATGCCTTGTGTGCTGGTCAGTGAGTCTCCTAGGACTGTCCAATGATAACCTGTCCAGCTTACCTTACACCTGTATCATGCCTGGTGTGCTGGTCAGTGAGCCTCCTAGGACTGTCCAATGATAACCTGTCTGTAGGAACACCAGCTTGTGTCAGGTTTCCTGTAGTGGCGACGTGACCATCTGTTCCTGCCATCTCCAATCTGTGTGCCAGTTCACATCCAGCATCAGTGATACTGTACCTACAGACAAGATAAGTTTATCGTTATAAGATACAGGATACAGTGTTAAACAGTTTACCGGTTCTGTATTACTTCATGTCTTGTAATAGGTATACAGGTCATGCAAATTATACTGTTAAGATTTCATTGACATGTAGTTGATCTTAAAGTACTAAAAGAACATACTTTGCTGGATTGCTTTCCTTGATGATGAGAGCCTTTTTGATGAGAGTGCCCATGGAGGACCAAGATGTGTACCGACAACCTGCATCTGGCTGGATAGTTACAAAAACATTACAGGTAACATCTATCCATGGATGCAAAACACTTATCACAACAAGGATTGTTTGTAGAGTTGTCAATTTTTATGATTAAAGAGTGTACTTCTTTCATGAATAAAGCAAGAAATATTTTATATATAAATGTTTGAATTTAATAAAAGTCAGCTGTTGTTTTTTATGTTCAAATTTTATCCACTGACAATATCAAAGTTTTACTTTATACACAATGTAGGTACTTAACGTGAGGCTTATTGAAGTTATCCACCGACATGTTTGATTGTCTGGCCTTGTAGGTAAGTTATATCCACTTAGAACAACTTTTCAATATGATGGTTCAGGCTTCTCAACATAATATCGTTCAGGATAAGATATTGGTCAATATGTCAAGCGTAACTCACAATTGTAAAAGATTTGTCGGACAGAGGTTGAGCCTTCCCGACGAGTTCTACTTTTGACATGTATCCTCTGCTCCCAGGGTCCTGTAATTAAGATATCTTTTGTTAATAAAGCAACATGTCAATTATTGTTTTAACTGTGACCTTTATTGTATTTTTATGATTAAAGAGTGTACTTCTATTACGAAGAAAAAAAATCCATGAAATGTGCAATCGTGTTGCTGCAGTAGGCATATTTTAGGCTTTCGACTGGGATATCTAAATTCCAGGTAATACATGTATATGCTGGGACGTCACCGACTTATTTTGTGATCCACATCACCTACAACTACTTATATATTAATTATTACATATTTCTAGCAATGGCTTTAAACTGCATCACCCATATATTACAAATTTGAAAAAAAAAGATGTCACCTCTCATTTATATATTCATGTCTTCAACCAATTGGTTATACATCTCTTTTCTTAGTTGTTGTTAGAACCAAATAAAGAAAAAAGAAGAAAAATTAAATTGAACTTTTTTTTTATTTTCACAGATAAATTACAATTCAACTCTCCATAAATATCAATACAAACATTTGTTAATTACACAATTTTATTAGCAGCACCAGTAATTTCTTATTAGAAATACCAGGGATAAATTACTGTGGTGATAGTGAAATGCACGAACCACATATTGTTTTGTAGGCACCAACTTCATCTTAACTTAAATACTACAGTAGAACAATGCTTGAAAAGTGCTCAGAGTTAAGGAACTTTATGTGGAGATTCAGCGAAAATAAAGGTTTCTCAATTGGAAAATGTCTAAGTTCTGCATGATTTGTAATATTCTCTTTTACACTTATACATGTGTAAGATTAATGAAAACAAATTATTGTTATTATTTTCTTTGATAGTATATCAACATTTCATTTATAATTGATGATGTCCTTTTGTTATTCAAATACTTAAACATGCATGTGGGCACTCATTACAATAAAATGTTAAATGTAGAATATGTACTAATTATCATCAAAACTGTTTACCATTGTTACACTTGGTGCCACTGTAGGCATTCAGTCTAAACAACACCATTGACAAATAGTTACATTCTTTCTATTGAACTAATTAGCTGTTGATAAACAAAATAAAATCAATCAGTCTTTCGTGAGGAATATCTTGATAATTATTATAAGTGTTAGAACTCACCCAAACGGTTAAAATTTAACCGATGTTCATGAGGAGACAAAGAGTATTTTATCACATTAACAAAAGACAAAAAATTACATGTTACTGAAGTGAAATACTCATCACTGATAAGTGCTACACATTTCAGCTGGTACAATTCAGTACACAAAATCTGTAATGTCGTATTAAGTCATATCATAAGGATTTTTTCTTTTTGTATAAAATTTATTATATCACAATTATACTTTATGATTATACAATGCAATACTGTATAGCATGCTATAACAATAAAAAATATATCTGAAAAACTATTTGTCTACAATTCAACATTGAATGTGTACAATGGTATATCAGTGTCATTATCACATGATACAAAGTCAGCCTACAAAACAGTTATAAGTGATGTCTCTCATGTCTTTGCTTGAAAATTATACAAAGATATGAAATTAAGTGAATAGAATCTAGTTAATGATGAGAAAAAACAGGAAATCTTATTCCAGATTTAGTGGCAACAGCACTTATATCATACTTTTATAAATGCTTTTGCAAAATAAATTGCAGAAAAATCTTCAGAGAGAGAGCTTCGCACAAAAACGTTTATGTTGGATGTTTTCTGTGCATAGTCACAATCATTTGACAGCAGCGCATTTTTCCAGTAATGTTATTAACACTATCAGTTTCCAGCCTTTCTGTGTAATTACCAAATAGACAGACAAAAAGTTAAGTCTGATACAGAATCTATTATCTTCCTAGATCTGCTTTAGAAATAGACAGACATTGAAGAGACTATGCTTGACGCTGCACTGACAAAAAATTAAGTCTAATACAGAATTAATTATCTTCCTAGATCTGGTAAGAAATAGACAGACAATGATGAGACTATGTTTGATGCTCCGCTGACAAAAAGTCTGATACAGAGTCATAATCTTCCTAGATCTGGTAAGAAATAGACAGACAATGATGAGACTATGTTTGATGCTCCGCTGACAAAAAGTCTGATACAGAGTCTATAATCTTCCTAGATCTGGTTACACACACTCTGTCCCCATCATCAGTGGCAGTGAACACACTCTCGATTCCCTGCCTTCCTTTAATGTCATGTTCTGTTTGTAAGTGACTGTAGGACATACCACTTCCCGCGATACTTTTTGCTACATTAGTAGAAATGACCTTTTTGTTGACCATTGTCTGTAAACTTGGAAAATTCTGTTTTACTTGTAAAGAGTAGTTATAAGAATCCATCACATCTTTGACAGAGAAGGAAGCTTTCTGTCGGGCCTCCTTGTCAATATCAACGGACCGGACAAGCCTCTGAAGGGCCACAACGTCCTGAAGTGCATCATGGGCCTTGTACTTCTCGCCCAACAGACTTTTAACAAGGGACTCTTGTTTGTATGATTTTTGAGATGGATGAACAATCCTGAATAACTTTTTTGTATCCAGAAATCCTTTTACATGAGCCTTGAACTGTTCTGTCATACCTTTGTCACAAGATGTCAGAGCGTGGACGAGTAGGGGACAGTCATATGTCTGGATGTTATGGCCTACAAGAATGTTATTTTGTGTTTTACTCAGAAATTCAAACATCTGCGTAAAGGCATCACTTAGGGATACTGTTTTCACAAACTTTCCGTAGCGGTACATTTTCTTCTTGAACACCCGGATCCCTGTGACCTCTGAAGCCTCTCGTGTCATCCGTTTTTTTGGCATAACAAAGCAGGAGAATCTATCCTTCCCCCTCACAGCAGCCATCTGGGTAATACTGGAGGTTCTTCCTGTAATGTTAAAGTCATTACGACATTAAAGTCCATACATTATAACTGAAATATCAGACACCCAAAACATGAAAACTAGACTATTTTATGTAAGAACCAAAAGTGTTCGTACATGTATACTGCCATGTACAGCTGGTTTGTGATTTGATAAGAGTTCTATATGAGTCACAATTACCTAAGCCTGTTGTCTCCAAGTCAAAGTAGACATCTGTGGTAGGAATAACAGGTGCTTGTAATGGCTCACAGGGAGAGTGTGTGGCCTCCACATTATCTTTAGTTCCTGTCTTATCCCTCTTTTCTAAAGACAGTTCTCTGGAGTAACAAGTTGAAAATATCAGTGTCAAAAGTTTTGTTATTCCATATGATTGTAAGAAATCTCAACCTCAAATTAGTTTATAAACTCTATTACTTTTACACTCATAATTTTTCTCGTCAACAAAAAATTCATACAGAATTAATCTCAATTGCACTATAAAATAATGATATCCGTTAAACTCCAGTCTTGATGACTTCTCTGTGATATATGGCAAATAGATTAGACAATTTCAACTGCACAAAAATGACTGATTATATACCCATTTGTTTTAAACTCCAATCTCAATTGCTTTTTTAGTGATGCGTCTCTAATAGTTGTCAGTGCCTTTTTTTTCTTGCTCTGTATATCTTTCTGTGTAGACAACCTGCAGGTATGTTTCCCCGGGGTGCAGCTTCCCTGGTGATTGTCCTGAAGAAAGTATTATACATTAACAAATAGTATACAAACTAAATTTCACTGATTCGGATGCGAGTTTTAAAAGATAATCAGATGTACCATTACTCACATGAGTTTATAATAACCAGTATAAGTCTGACATACAGACATAGAATACAAATGATGTTATCTATCATCAGGATCTATTCTAATATCTATGTAAACCTTGGAAAACAAAGTAATAGGGTAGCCATATAAATATATATGGCAATGTGCATGGTAAATATACAAAACAGAAAATCGGCTTTCAAACAATGTTTTCAAACTTAAAAAAATATGTTTTGTATCATTCCTCAATTGATTCTGAAGAACTCAGCAAGACGTTAGATAGACTATGCATAATGTTTCATGTCATTGTTTAAATATTGATTATTTCAGTGGTTTGCGTAATTGTTTAAACAATACAGTAATGTTCTGTGTTGTTTTAATAGTGATGATTTAAATGTTTTGTGTTACTATTTTAATATCAATAATACACCTACCTATTCTTTTCTTCTTTGTTGACGATTCAATTTTTTCTGAAATAGAATTCCGTGGGAACAGAAATCCCCAATCCAAACTTCTTTTGTTTGTACCAGACACATAGTACATTATACATGGCTGCTTCAAATGTTACCGAGAGAAACAACACAAACACACAAGATAGTTTCAAACAGACCAACTCACTCTATTGTTAAAGTATTCTGACCTGAAACAATAATGGCCATGATCTTTGGGAAACATTGCTTTGTGTGTATAGCATATGTATATGGCGTCTGTTATATAGTCAGTGTTACAGTCTCAGTTTATCTTGTTTATTTTTAAAAAATGCTATTTTCCGTGTCCAATGCAATATTAGATAAATTATGTGAATAAAGAAACAAGAGGCCCAGAGGGCCTGTATCGCTCACCTGTATATGTTTAAACTAATTGGTATGAAGTGAAGATATAGCACTTCATGGTAGGTGCTGTAAGTACATATGAAATTTCAGAAAGATCCATCCAGTCCTTGAGATATAGCGAGAACAAACTTCACCCCTAAATAAGGATAAAATCCCTTAGTCCCGATGGTGGAAGAAGGATTTTAAAGGTTTTCCCCTCAGCCCCCAGGGGGGCCAGACCCACCATTTATACTTTGAGTCCCCTTGGCCTAAGGATGCTCCAGACTTAATCTCTATGATAGAAGAAGGATTTTAAAGGTTTTACGGACGCTGGACCATGGCATAAGCTCACTTGCCCTTCGGGACTAAAGCACTTAGTGATAATACACTGCATTTTTAAATACAATGAGATGCATCAGGTTTAAATATTAGAATTTTGATAAGACAAAATAATAATAGGATCAATAGGCAATACATCTCCTAATCTAATGTAGAAAGTTTTGGTTCCAAGATGCTTTGAAATAAAATTTACCTGTTAAACCACAACTGTTTTTAGCAGTATTTCCTGTTTAAAAGCGACAGCCTTGGTTATGAAGACCAATTTGTAATAATCTAAAGATAGGATCACGTGAAAAGGAGGGTGTCAGTTAATGTCCATGATAGAGAGTTTGATAGAAGCTGGTTTACATTACGTCAACAATATAGAGGAGGAATTGAGGTGTTACCTGTGTGTTCCTGTACAGCGCCAGCAGGAGTCCATAAGCTCCTGATCGGTAAGCTGGAACGTACTCTTGTTCTCCACTCTTACTGCGGGGACGGGCGTGCCTCTATAAAAACAAAGCAAAATTATATAATTATGTATACTGGATTAAGATACAAAGAGAACTGATTTTCCAGACTCAATGTACTACTATTCATTAGTAACGTTCTACTTCAGGTCTTTATAATAATTATAATTACCTTCTAGTGTTAGATTCCCCCCATGTTAACTCATTTTAGAAGTTTTTGAAAAGTCTCCAAATACTCAAAGTAATATGTGATTGAAAATACCTTGATCTTATTCATGTAAAGGGGGAGTCCCCTGTAAATTCTTAGGTGGTACAGTTGTATGTGACAGCTTTGGGGTAGATTTTATTTCTACAGTAGATGTAGCGTCATCTGTAAAATTCTCTGGACAATGTGTAAATTGCAATTAGAGATTTGGGTCTCTTTAGTTTATAAAGGGACAAAGTAACTCTACTTTGGTGTAGGATTCTACAAGTATATGTTGTTGGGTAGAACAAATGTATGTTAGTTCTACCTTTGGAGGTGGCGTCACAGTCAAATCAACATCATCATCTGTCAGGTTAACAGATCCTGCAGCAGCCACAGTGAGACCATGTCTGGGTCTAGAAACGTCATCGACTGGACGTGTGGAGTTCTCCGACATAGACTGCTTAGTCTTCTTTTGTTTTGATGGAGCCTTTTTTGGGACCTCCACAGGGTCTGGGGGTACAACACACCCTGAAAAATACAGAAATTATGGTTAAGTGTTTTTAAGCATTTTGATAATAGTAAAGTAACACTGACTTTGACCTTAACATCCTCAAATGTAAAATTTCAGGTACATGCATGGATTATCATACATGATAAATTGTTTGAATAATGAGGTCTTTCTTTATAGTTGGAAAGTTAGAAAGTGTTCGAGAGGTGACAAAACTTTTCTACAGAGATCAGTAACACTGTTAAACATATGGTGTTTGAGTTTTGTTTATGTAAACTCTACAACGGAAGGGCTCAACCCTTTTATCTACCACGGAAGGGCTCAACCCTTTTATCTACAACGGAAGGGCTCAACCCTTTTATCTACATGTATTTTAACAAGTGAGTGGAATTGTTTTAAAAATTTAAATCCCATTATTACTATAGACATTGCTACAATATTATAATTAAGGAAATAATAAGTGCGCAACTGGAAAAGTACGACGTGAGTGAACAAAATAACAATGATGCATCACCACAAGCTTGAACTAGCTTTCAACGATGCCACATCAGCAATTCCGATTTGCCTTGACCCCCCCCCCCAATGACCTTTATATAAAGTCTCTTCATTTGCCCAAACACCAATGGCCTGAAACACAAAAACTTTGAAGTGAAGTTATTTCCATGTCAACTTCTAACTGGGAATGTTGAAGTAGGCATATATGATATAAAACCATATTGCCCTTGTCCATTTTTTTTACACTCACCATGCAGTTCTATATGTTCGGCTAACTTTTCATCAATCAACTTGCATGTTTTATCGCCTGTACAAAGAGATGTATATTGTTTTAGATATTTAAAGTGTATGTTATATAATGTATATCCTTAAATAAAGAGTTTCTTGACAATTTTACTGTAATATGATATATTTAACAGCTGTGGTCGAATGAAGGATTATATTCGTATCAGATTTTTATTTACTGAGAACAGTGATCAGCTGGACATTATGTAATCTGGTCAAATTTTACAGGGGTGTAAGATGTGAAACGCATAATTGCCTTATGCAGATGTACATAAAAAGTATTTATGGGTTCCTAGAAAAACAGATTTGTGCTTTTTATATAGAATAGGATTACCAAAATGTTCCTTTATATAGAATAGGATTACCAAAATGTTCCAACATCTTGCAGTCCTTTCCTGTAGCCAGAGGTAGAGGATAATTCTTCAAAGACTTGATTGCCTGTACCAAAAAGACAACATCTGTTATTGTGCTGATGATGTACACCCCATCAATTGTAAATTAACATTAATAACAGCACCTTTTACCCGTTGTACCGCTTTGTGGAGTAAACAATGTGGTACACATATTAGTGATCCTCAGCTGACTTGTTCTAAAACTTGCCTATCCTCAGTTAGAGTTCAGCAATGAACAAGTAATACATATATGAGTACGTATGTAATACTTTATTTTGAAGATAACATATTTTGTTTAATCTTATCTTCCATATATGGCTTAAATTGATTAAATCCTATCACTTGAAACAGAATGATATTTAGGCATCGGTATGTTCCTCGTTGAAATAAATTTGTGAACATCAATATCTTCTAAAACACACAAGTAGTTTGAATTGACCCACTGCCTAAATTATAGGTCAGCAGTAGGCCATACAGGGCCTGTAGCGGCTATTTTGAGATTCAAAACCTTGTTTTATTCTGTAATTACCTTGCCATACACATACTGTGTTTTCCAGCCTTTTTCTGCGGCCTCCTCTCTCCATTCAGTAAGCCATTGTAAAAATAATGGATTAGCACAGACTGGCTTTCGTTTCTTCCTTTTACCGTAGAGAGGATGGTCTTGAAGTTCCATACTGTAGACACATGCACCTCACTGCTAGAATAAATGTCATCAAAATAAAGCAACTGGTTTTCAGTGATCAATCTATCTTACTATGAAGCATATGACAGCTACTTAGAATACATTCTAAAGTAAAAAAACAAGCAAATTTGTGGAATTTATATCCCCCGCTCTCAGGACATATTGTAGGTAAACATTGTTGAGGTAAGGTTCAAACATGTGAGTATCGTGCTGTTGAGACGTAATGTATAGCTTGAAACTCGAAGAAAAAAAAGCCTGATCTAATATTTGCTCGAGTTATAAAGCAGAAACTGCAGATAATGACTGCCAAATGCAGTCCGATTAAAGTGGTTGTCAAACTTGGCCGAGCCCTTAATGCGTTGAACCCTGTTACTAAGTTTGAAGACAATCGGATACTATTTGCGAGAGTTAATGAAAGGAAATGGAAGATAATGACGTTTTTCGTTATTCAAGGGGCCATAGCTCAGCCAAATGGGGTCCGCTGAAAGTGGTCATCAACTTGGTCGAGCCCTTAAGACATTTAACCTTGGTACCAAGTTTGAAGAAAATCTGTTAACTTTTGTTGTAGTTATTTCACGGAAACGAAACGCAGCAGATAATGGTCATCAAACTTGGCCGAGCCTATAATGCATTCAACCCTGTGACGAAGTTTGAAAAAAAATCGGTTAACATTTGTTGTAGTTATTGCACGGAAACGAAGCGCGGCAGATAATGACATTTATCGTTATTCAAGGGGCTAAAATTCCGCCAAATGGGGTCCGCTGAAAGTGGTCATCGAACTTGGCTGAGCTCTTAATGCATTTAACCCTGTGACCAAGTTTGAAGAAAATGGGTTAACATTTGTTGTAGTGATAATGACATTTTTCGTTATTCAAAGGGCCATAATTCCGCCAAATTGGGTCCGCTGAAAGTGGTCATCGAACTTGGCCAAGCTCTTAAGGCATTTATCCCTGTGACCAAGTTTGAAGAAAATGGGTGAACATTTGTTGTAGTTATTGCACGGAAAAGAAGCGTGACAGACTCACAGACAGACGGACAAACCCAAATTAATATCCCCCGGTTTAGTGAAAGCGGGGGATAAAAAGTAATGAATTTATCAAGACAACAATGCCCATTATATATATCCTGTCCACAAAAACTTGAGGATAAATCAAAGTTAGTTCCTTTTGTTTCTACTTTCAATTCATGAAATTTCAATATTTTTCCTGTGATAAAGAACAAATGTGAAGAATTAAAGCAAAGTAGCAGGCGTATGAGAAATACTTTAAATAAACACGCTACTTTACATAGTAGACGCCAACCTAAGGACTTGAAACGTATATTGACATGCTCTAAGTTTGATAACTCTTGTGTAACACCAGAAGTATCCAAATGTAAGACACCAAGATGTTCTACATGTCACATGATTATCGAATGCAATACTTTTTTTTCAAGAAAAGTTTGAAATAAACTGTAAAGGTTAATATGATTTGTATAAAAAAATGTAAATTATGCAATAGTTTGTTCTGAATGTGGTGATTTCTACATCGGTCAAAGTTGGGTACTTCGTAACGTCACGTGAGTATTGTAGTGTACAGTGATGACATGTAATTGTGATGTCACAAAGTTGTTCTTTTGAAATAACCCTGAAGAGCCCTGTGAAGGGTGAAAGAAGCTAGTTTTTTAGTCGGTCGTTAGATCTTATTCGAGACATCTAAAATCACGAAAATGTCAAAACACGAAAACGTTCAATTGAACCGTACCTCTGGCCCTGTGATCCCGTTAGGCTATTTTGTCATGTAGCCTCTGTGCAAAACTCCCGATTGTGAGACGTAAGATTAGTTGCCGCTCGACTTTTTGTAGGTCATTACATCACTTATTCGTTAAGTACGTTATTTACCTGAGTGTTGCATACGTGATAAGCAACTTTGCAGTTTCACTACGTAAAATTATGTAGCTGAGCCTTCTTGATTTGTAATTTGGCGGGAAATTTGCAGGACCGCAGGATTGTTTTTTTTTCTTTCTTTCTGTAATTCTATAATTACAAATCAACGCGAATATTTTATCATACTACATCAAAGCTATATAAAAGATTTTGCTATAATATATATAGTTCATAATTAATAATATTAAATACTTTTTACCAACCGTATCTTCGGAGCTTAATGAAACTATCTATTTCCGGTTGTGAGGAATGTTTACATTCGCTACTGGGGTTGTGTCTGAAAAAATACAGTGCTGACCCAATTTTACAAGCAAATTTTGTAAGATGAGCGACGAGCAGCCGGAACAAACAGTTGAAAAGCCTAAGTAAGAGCATATTTAATCGTAGGCTCGTAGAATGAATTCGAAAGTAGAATATGTAAGTTGGGGAAGATGCACCCGCCAACACGGCTGACCGGTATCCCAAACCACCAATTTCACCAGTGCTGTAGGTGACTGGTAATTGGTACACTGATGAATATAAGTCTACCAGGGATAGCAATATTGCAGTATTCACTTAGTCTCTATTTGCTGCTAGTGCAGCCTTCAAGTTCAGTATTTCAGCACATTATATTATTGATGTGATCTGGTAGTTTGTTTTATATTTTGATTCCTTTAGAGTGTGGTGTCCTAGCTTGATGGTCATGTGCACAGGTGCTGGACACACTGATAGGATGTATATATACTACATAATAAACACATATCAGTGTGTCAGGCACCTTTGATCTTGTGTTGAATTTATATAGTGTGTCAGTGGGGATGGCTACCTATAAAACACTAGTTGGTGTTGTTCCCTGCATTCTGATAAGGTCTGCCACTGGAGGTCTGTAACATATTAGTCACACTAGATTGTCTGCTATAAATGTTGAAAACTGGGCTGCAAGACGTTAGATTCCCTCAAGCTGGTTGATGTCTTTCTTTAAGTGAGGATCCCTTACTACAAATGAATAGAGATATAAGCTGTTGTAATTGAGTTTAAGTATAGTACTTTAAGTTCCGACAAATGAATCCTAATACTCAATTTGCATGGTTTGAAGTTTTGTTTATATGTGTACACCATTTCAGGTTGTCTCTTATTGTTACACCTAGATATATGGATTATCCTTGACTTGTTCCAAAATTTGGTTGTCCAGCATTTAATGATATTGATAAGGAATCTTGCTTCTACTGACAGACATGGTGTAACATTTCGTGACAATGAAACACATACCAATCTCTAGCCCACTCCAGTATTCAAAGATACAAGAATTTTTATTTTAACAATGACACATAATAAAACACACCAAAATCCTTAACAACTGGTTCACCTGTTGTCAGTATAATGTGAGCGGCAATATGCTGTGCAGGGTGATTGGGTGCCTTTGGCATGGTATTTCAGTGAGATAGCACTATAAAGTCGGCATCAGATCCACGGTTTCACAAGGAGGCAAGTGTCTCCAGCACACATACACGCTTACACAACACACATGGAGGCACGTCCTTAAATGACCTTAGCTGTTAATAGGACGTTAAACAAAATAAAACAAAACAACAATAATAAAACAAAACAAAATAAATTAACACAGCATGCACCACAATGACAGATAGCAAATTAAAAGCATTAAGTGCTAAAGGTCATGCAAACATAAATCTCATGCAACGTTGAAAATGTTAATGAAACCTGAGTAGAATATGCATATAAGCCAATATAGCATAATCTAAAACAATACTGCATGAAGATGTATATTATAAGTAGCAGTATGAAAAGTAATGAAAACACACTCAATAGAAATATGTAAGCAGTACATGCATAAGAATAACATAAAAATAATACAAGCAGATGTAGCCAATAAAACAGTTTTGTAACTGGTGGTTACCCTTGCTTTTTTAGAACTTTTACTTTTGGAAAGTGGCATACTAAAACTACTTATTCACTTCAATTGCTGTTAAGTTGACTATCCAGTTCCCTCTACTTATATATTAAATATTTTATGATAATGATTCTAAAGTATCAGCATTTAGAATTGGAAAAAATAGCAGCAAGTCTGTTCTTCTAATAGCACATGTTTTTTTTCTTTAGCAACCAGTCTCTATTTTTGACCACAACGTAACTTTGCTAAAAGGCTCCAGTTAAGTCTATTAATCAGCTTTGGTATAAAGGTTCAGGAAATTTTTCTTTTTCAAACTTTCCAAATATTATCAATTTGTTTATTCCATCAGTGTCAGTCCACATGTAAATAAAATAGTCAATATGATGTACGACACAAAAAACTGGAAAGAAGCTCCTATTCAATAATGCTGATAAATGCATAATGTTTGAATGTGTTAAGTGAAAAGTTAAACCATGCAAGAAACTTGATTCAAATCAGCTTATTGAATACAACGTCCAAACAAAATGGTAAACAAACTTGCAGATAAATTGAATGACAGACTGAGAGGGAAAATCGAATGCACAGCTCACAAAATAGATTACATGCCACTCACAAAATGAACTGATTTTGGGGTGATACATTTGGGGCATTATGTTTATTTTTATGGTGAAATGGTTGGGGCGATATGAGTCAAATTTTGGTCAACAGCTTGGAGCTTTATGGTTTTGGGTGAATCATCTGACAACGATACAGCTCATGGGTCTTCAACATTTGTCTGGAGCATCTTTTGGCAGAGGAGGCACACATCATTAATCATTGATTTGTTTAATACCTATTAGGGTGTAAGTACCCAGCGACTAGATGAACATTTGTACTGCTCAAAAACTAAATAGCTCTCATTCTATTTCCATTAACACACTCAGTAGTATTGGTGAGATGAATACATCCATGCACACTTGGAAATGTTTGAGATCCATGCTCTATAACAACAAAGTTTTCCTGGGGATGAAGAGATGGATCCATCCATGCTACCAGCATCAGATGCTGGACTTGTTGTATCAGACTGCAAGAGATGAAGCGATCAACTCAATCATGCTACCAGCATTGACCCTAAAGTCCAACACTACCTCTTGGAAGTTTACTTAGTCCCTTGTTTATAACACAGAAACATTGATAGAGAGCCAGTTCTGATAAATCTGGTTTATTTAGTATTTTTTACATAGTTTGGAAAATCATTTACATAAATTGAGTTTTCTGCTTTAATAAAACAATATAAATACATTGCCTGGTACACCATTGATGAAAAGAACATCATGTGTTACATGTTACACACAGAATACAGGCTATCCACATTGGCTACTGTACTAATATCATAGTTTAAATACCAATAAATCCTTTAAATAACTAGATTGTCTGGAAAAATGAAGTAATTCCTAAAAAGGTATATTCTACTGACTTCATAGGATTTTAAGAATTTGCACATACCAATAAAATATTATGTAGTCCATGAACATTTTAGAACAATAAATTAGTCATAATGATTATCCTGGTTTTCTTTATTTTGCAGACCTGGCTCAGAGAAATGGCTGGACGCATACCACGATCCTGTTGCGTCCCTGTACACCCTAACACAGTGTGTGGCTCTGTCCGACATACAGGCCGATGGGGACTGGAAATTAGTGATTGCAGATCTTGGCACAGGAGCTTACAACATGAAGCTCAAAGTTTATAAAGGTGATATTCAATACATGTTTGCCTTATAATGAGAGGAGATAGAACTACTGATTATATGGAAAACGAATACATAACACCACATCTATTGTAAATTTTGTACTTGGTATGAAATGAAATGATACTTGCACACAATTTTGGTTGGGGAAAAAGGTGCAAGTTTTTGATGTAAATTATTTTTCAAAATTAATCTTATTTTTCTTCCAGGAACAAATTTGATGAGTGAAAATGCCATTATTGACCTTCCCACTGGGGTCGTCACATTCTATATGGACGTCCTCGAACCAAGGATGCCAGGTACATAATTCAGCACTTCTATGCTTTTTAAAATAATTGTAAGGAATTACTGTTGATGGTTTGTAATATTTATTTTATTACACTTAATTTAATTAACAAACATTTTCCACACCAATTTTTGTAAATCATCTTGTTCTAAGTTAGCAAATCTACAATCCATTCTTTGCAAATGTCATCTGCTCAAATGCTGTTAATGCAGGTATACTTAAGTAGCAGACAGCACTAGCCTTCTCAAAATCCCGGTCCCAACAGGTGAACAATTGAATACAGCAGACAAACGTGAAACAGTGAAAAATCAAATATTTTTTATGTTGAAGTTCATGTTTTTGCTTGTAACATAAAAACTGTCCTGTTAATTTAGCTCTGCAGGTGAACCTTTTAAAAAAATGGAAACTATTGGAAAGTGATGAGGCAGGGTTCACTCAGATATTTGTACAACTGTACTTATAAATCATGATAAACATGTGATCATTCAGTAAACAAAAAAGTAAGCGGACACATCCTAGTTTGCTTACTTCGACAATTAATGATTTTAACGCTATCAATAGTTAATGCTTTTTATTGTCATCCATTGGTAGAATTTTTCAATGACTCAGTGTGACATATGAATGTTATATAGTGGGAATTGAATTAATATCATTGAATCAGATTCTGTCAGTATATTTGTACTATAGGTATCTGAGATGTACAGTAACATGTTTGTGATTTTTGTGATTTTCAGCTATTGCTGTTGCATCTGGTCCCTATATTTACATCTATAAAAATCTGAGACCTTACTTCAAATTTACATTGCCCACTTTGGATGTGAATAGCGTGGAGCTAGACCTGTGGACACAGGTCAAGGAGGTCAGTTTCATATATACCATGCAAAATGTTCATTGAATACCGCTTGCTGAAAAGTTTAACTTTAAATATTAACTTTATGTTTTGTTAGCTCGCCTATTCGGAGAATAGGGGGGCTAATGTAGTCAGCCCGGCGTCGGCGTCCCACGTACTGAGGTTAAAGTTTGTGGGCAAGTCTTCATGTGCAGTGTTGGATCGGTCACCACCATCAATACGCTGTTGACTATTTCATGTTGTCTGGTCATCTCTTCGTTTGAAATGTACAACATGTTATGATAAGGCTATATCAAGGTTTTACTGTATATTTGTTTTATTGATATTGCCTCTCTTACAACATATATGACCAATAGGCGAGCTATGCTGTTCTCCAACAGCTCTTGTTTTGTTTGCAATTTGCCTTTACAACTCTGCAGGTGAAGCATATTGGTGGAGACACATAAGGATGAAAGTATCTCAGTTTGTCCACACTATGACCTTCATAATTACACCATAGCATCATTACAACTGAACAATTTTAAATAAGAGATCACAGGAAGATATTTTAGGACTAGAACATGTGTCACCTTATGTGATCAATCTATATTAAGCTTTTGATAAGTCCCTTTCACTTTTTCAAAAAAACCTAGGTGTTCCACCATGTTGAATTTCAGTACATTTGCAGAAACTACGAGTCCCATGAAAATGTATTGGCATAAGACTAGGGACTCACTTGTAGATTTATATCTGTGCGTACCTCTCTAGTGTCTGTACACCCAAGGTCAAGGTTACAGCAAGGGGTCAAGGTTTGAATTATTTCATTGTATGAACACCTCTAAAAATCTGAACACTTTTTATGAATATTGATAGACTGATCTAAGATTCATGCACCAGTATTAAGGTCATAGCTAGGGTTCAAAGGTCAAATCATTGTAAGGTTTGTGTGGACCATCACCTCTAAACTAGATAATGTTATTTATGAAAAACAATCTTTCAATTTATAATAGATTGGTTTGTTTTTTCACTTTCAGGACAAAATAAATGTCTTTGTGTTGAGAGAAATGCTTGAGGGTATGAGGTAAGAAATTTTATAGAAACACATTGACATTCAACATTGAAGAGGAGAATATTATAAACACATTTCAATTTATTAGGGAAAAAAACTTCCTTTGATAGTGCCTCTAACATTTATCTTTGAAAAGAATGAAATTCACTCTAGAAACAATGATGTATATATGTTTAATGTTTAAATTCACAATGGAAACAATAACATGATGCATGAATTCTCAATTTTCTCTGTTAACTCTCGGCATTATTAATTGTAGTAATAAATCCTGGAATTTCATAGGACGGAGACATGATACCACACGAGTAGCTGGCTGACACAAAGTCACACTGACACAACATCATATAGCTGACACAAGGCACACTGACACAACATCATATAGCTGACACAAGGCACACTGACACAACATCATATAGCTGACACAAGGCACACTGACACAACATCATATAGCTGACACAAGGCACACTGACACAACATCATATAGCTGACACAAGGCACACTGACACAACATCATATAGCTGACACAAGGCACACTGACACAACATCATATAGCTGACACAAGGCACACTGACACAACATCATATAGCTGACACAAGGCACACTGACACAACATCATATAGCTGACACAAGGCACACTGACACAACATCATATAGCTGACACAAGGCACACTGACACAACATCATATAGCTGACACAAGGCACACTGACACAACATCATATAGCTGACACAAGGCACACTGACACAACATCATATAGCTGACACAAGGCACACTGACACAACATCATATAGCTGACACAAGGCACACTGACACAACATCATATAGCTGACACAAGGCACACTGACACAACATCATATAGCTGACACAAGGCACACTGACACAACATCATATAGCTGACACAAGGCACACTGACACAACATCATATAGCTGACACAAGGCACACTGACACAACATCATATAGCTGACACAAGGCACACTGACACAACATCATATAGCTGACACAAGGCACACTGACACAACATCATATAGCTGACACAAGGCACACTGACACAACATCATATAGCTGACACAAGGCACACTGACACAACATCATATAGCTGACACAAGGCACACTGACACAACATCATATAGCTGACACAAGGCACACTGACACAACATCATATAGCTGACACAAGGCACACTGACACAACATCATATAGCTGACACAAGGCACACTGACACAACATCATATAGCTGACACAAGGCACACTGACACAACATCATATAGCTGACACAAGGCACACTGACACAACATCATATAGCTGACACAAGGCACACTGACACAACATCATATAGCTGACACAAGGCACACTGACACAACATCATATAGCTGACACAAGGCACACTGACACAACATCATATAGCTGACACAAGGCACACTGACACAACATCATATAGCTGACACAAGGCACACTGACACAACATCATATAGCTGACACAAGGCACACTGACACAACATCATATAGCTGACACAAGGCACACTGACACAACATCATATAGCTGACACAAGGCACACTGACACAACATCATATAGCTGACACAAGGCACACTGACACAACATCATATAGCTGACACAAGGCACACTGACACAACATCATATAGCTGACACAAGGCACACTGACACAACATCATATAGCTGACACAAGGCACACTGACACAACATCATATAGCTGACACAAGGCACACTGACACAACATCATATAGCTGACACAAGGCACACTGACACAACATCATATAGCTGACACAAGGCACACTGACACAACATCATATAGCTGACACAAGGCACACTGACACAACATCATATAGCTGACACAAGGCACACTGACACAACATCATATAGCTGACACAAGGCACACTGACACAACATCATATAGCTGACACAAGGCACACTGACACAACATCATATAGCTGACACAAGGCACACTGACACAACATCATATAGCTGACACAAGGCACACTGACACAACATCATATAGCTGACACAAGGCACACTGACACAACATCATATAGCTGACACAAGGCACACTGACACAACATCATATAGCTGACACAAGGCACACTGACACAACATCATATAGCTGACACAAGGCACACTGACACAACATCATATAGCTGACACAAGGCACACTGACACAACATCATATAGCTGACACAAGGCACACTGACACAACATCATATAGCTGACACAAGGCACACTGACACAACATCATATAGCTGACACAAGGCACACTGACACAACATCATATAGCTGACACAAGGCACACTGACACAACATCATATAGCTGACACAAGGCACACTGACACAACATCATATAGCTGACACAAGGCACACTGACACAACATCATATAGCTGACACAAGGCACACTGACACAACATCATATAGCTGACACAAGGCACACTGACACAACATCATATAGCTGACACAAGGCACACTGACACAACATCATATAGCTGACACAAGGCACACTGACACAACATCATATAGCTGACACAAGGCACACTGACACAACATCATATAGCTGACACAAGGCACACTGACACAACATCATATAGCTGACACAAGGCACACTGACACAACATCATATAGCTGACACAAGGCACACTGACACAACATCATATAGCTGACACAAGGCACACTGACACAACATCATATAGCTGACACAAGGCACACTGACACAACATCATATAGCTGACACAAGGCACACTGACACAACATCATATAGCTGACACAAGGCACACTGACACAACATCATATAGCTGACACAAGGCACACTGACACAACATCATATAGCTGACACAAGGCACACTGACACAACATCATATAGCTGACACAAGGCACACTGACACAACATCATATAGCTGACACAAGGCACACTGACACAACATCATATAGCTGACACAAGGCACACTGACACAACATCATATAGCTGACACAAGGCACACTGACACAACATCATATAGCTGACACAAGGCACACTGACACAACATCATATAGCTGACACAAGGCACACTGACACAACATCATATAGCTGACACAAGGCACACTGACACAACATCATATAGCTGACACAAGGCACACTGACACAACATCATATAGCTGACACAAGGCACACTGACACAACATCATATAGCTGACACAAGGCACACTGACACAACATCATATAGCTGACACAAGGCACACTGACACAACATCATATAGCTGACACAAGGCACACTGACACAACATCATATAGCTGACACAAGGCACACTGACACAACATCATATAGCTGACACAAGGCACACTGACACAACATCATATAGCTGACACAAGGCACACTGACACAACATCATATAGCTGACACAAGGCACACTGACACAACATCATATAGCTGACACAAGGCACACTGACACAACATCATATAGCTGACACAAGGCACACTGACACAACATCATATAGCTGACACAAGGCACACTGACACAACATCATATAGCTGACACAAGGCACACTGACACAACATCATATAGCTGACACAAGGCACACTGACACAACATCATATAGCTGACACAAGGCACACTGACACAACATCATATAGCTGACACAAGGCACACTGACACAACATCATATAGCTGACACAAGGCACACTGACACAACATCATATAGCTGACACAAGGCACACTGACACAACATCATATAGCTGACACAAGGCACACTGACACAACATCATATAGCTGACACAAGGCACACTGACACAACATCATATAGCTGACACAAGGCACACTGACACAACATCATATAGCTGACACAAGGCACACTGACACAACATCATATAGCTGACACAAGGCACACTGACACAACATCATATAGCTGACACAAGGCACACTGACACAACATCATATAGCTGACACAAGGCACACTGACACAACATCATATAGCTGACACAAGGCACACTGACACAACATCATATAGCTGACACAAGGCACACTGACACAACATCATATAGCTGACACAAGGCACACTGACACAACATCATATAGCTGACACAAGGCACACTGACACAACATCATATAGCTGACACAAGGCACACTGACACAACATCATATAGCTGACACAAGGCACACTGACACAACATCATATAGCTGACACAAGGCACACTGACACACCATCATGTAGCTGACACAAGGCACACTGACACAACATCATGTAGCCGACACAAGGCACACTGACACACCATCATGTAGCTGACACAAGGCACACTGACACAACATCATATAGCTGACACAAGGCACACTGACACACCATCATGTAGCTGACACAAGGCACACTGACACAACATCATGTAGCCGACACAAGGCACACTGACACACCATCATGTAGCTGACACAAGGCACACTGACACAACATCATATAGCTGACACAAAGTCACACTGACACAACATCATATATCTGACACAAAGTCACACTGACACAACATCATATAGCTGACACAAGACACACTGACACAACATCATATAGCTGACACAAGGTCACACTGACACAACATCATAGAGAAACTCTAACTGCTTATTACATATATACTGTGTAATACATAATTAGAATTCATGCTTTTGTTTAACTGGAGCATCACCTAATTTGGTACCCAGGCGTTAAAAGATTGTTTTCCTTTTAGAGCGGAGGGTACAGTGTTGACGGTGCGGTCACTACGGTTCCTGCAGATGACCGACATTGGTGACATGGAAGCATTTGCTAATCTCTATAAACACATGCCACTGAGGAGGCAGGTGGGTAAACAAGCTGTAACAAATAAAAAAAATACATACATAATATCAATTGGCTGCTTGTTGAGTAAAGAAAGACTGTAATACATACAGAATATATATTGGTTACCCCACAAGTACTAGCCTCGGCTGTCATTCACCTATAATAATACTATATGGGGCAAAGAAGTAATTCCAACAGTGTGAACAAGTTTAGGTTGTCAAATTTTCGGAGCGATCCGCTCCTTTATCAAGACACAGTAAAACAAAACAGTTACTTGTACATATACATCATATTACAAGAAGATAGAACTGATATACTATAATTGAAAATATAGCTATTATATAAAACCAATAGTCCCCTCGGCTAAAGACAGCTGAAGGCAGCAATTAAGCTGAGAGCATCTATTTTAAGTAATTTGTTTCCTGCGGACATACCTCCATTAGGATCCAGTTATATGGGATTTTACCTTTTATATTACTTCTTTGACCCATATAATAATACTATAGATGTATTAACAGACGAGGCTACCTGTGGTTACCTTTTTGAAAACCATACCGGCCGGTATATATATTTCTTGGGTTTAGCAAATTGCTAAAAGCCTTGTGGAAAAATTGTGTTCTGCTATTGGAATAAGATGTAGATTGTTTTTTGATGGGAAACATTGACATTTCTAAATACAACTATCAAACCTGTCTGCAGCAAGCATCTGTAAAGCTAGAGATGGCCATATCCTAGCCCATTTCCACCGGAGACCTCATCTCAGCCTGAGTATGATACTACACACTGTCAATAGTTATTAAAGTCGGATTAATTACAACAATATATGAAAGCATGTCAAACTTATTATTTTGTCTCTGATATTATCTTCAGACCGTGATCAGCTGTCTAAGTACCATGAAGAAGTCCATGGCAGATGAGGACGCCATATGTTGCCTTGTCCTAGGCACAGAGAACAAGGCTGTGTACGTTCTGGATCCAGAGGCATTCACCGTCCTCACTACAGTAGGTCATAAATCAGTAGATTTTTACGGTTAAATCCTGGTCACTAGTAGTTTTCCTATGGTGTTTTTATTTGATGTAATACAAAATCTTACCTGGTATTTACCACATGTATTTCACCTTATGGTGTTATCACTAGATTAAAAGGATGAAAACTTTGTCTTGTAGATTGAGTTGCCGAGTGTGCCGGTGTTCCTGAGTGTTACTGGCCTGTATGATGTGGAATACAGGATTGTGGTGGCCTGTCGTAATGGCTGTATCTACACCCTTAAGAGGTAACCACACTCATAATCACCCAATGTTAACTTCTGCACACTTCATATTTGTTCTGTACAACTCAATACTTCCTGTACTCACCTCATACTTGCCCTGTAATCACCTTGTACTTGCCCAGTACTCACCCCATACTTGTCCTGTACTCAACCCGTACTTGTCCTGTAATCACTTGTACTTGTCCTGTACTCACCCTGTACTTGTCCTGTACCTAACCCACACTTGCCCTGTATTCATCCCGTACCTGCCCTGTATTCACCTCGTACTTGTCCTGTACTCAACCCGTACTTGTCCTGTACCGTACCCATACTTGTCCTGTACTCACCCTGTACTTGTCCTGTACCCAACCCATACTTGTCCTGTACTCACCCCGTACTTGTCCTGTACCCAACCCATACTTGTCCTGTACTCACCCTGTACTTGTCCTGTACTCAACCCATACTTGTCCTGTACTCACCCTGTACTTGTCCTGTACTCATCCCGTACTTGCCCTGTACTCACCCTGTACTTGTCCTGTACCCAACCCTCTACTTGTCCTGTACTTGTCCTGTACTCACCCTGTACCTGTCTTGTACTCACCCTGTACCTGTCCTGTATTCACCCCGTACTTGTCCTGTACTCACCCCGTACTTGTCCTGTACTCACCCCGTACTTGTCCTGTACTCACCCCGTACTTGTCCTGTACTCACCCTGTACTTGTCCTGTATTCACCCTGTACTTGTCCTGTACTTGTCCTGTACTCACCCTGTACCTGTCTTGTACTCACCCTGTACCTGTCCTGTATTCACCCCGTACTTGTCCTGTACTCACCCCGTACTTGTCCTGTACTCACCCCGTACTTGTCCTGTACTCACCCTGTACTTGTCCTGTATTCACCCTGTACTTGTCCTGTACTTGTCCTGTACTCACCCTGTACTTGTCCTGTACTCACCCTGTACTCAACCCTGTACTTGTCCTGTATTCACCCCGTACTTGTCCTGTACTTGTCCTGTACTCACCCTGTACCTGTCCTGTACTCACCCTGTACTTGTCCTGTATTCACCCCGTACTTGTCCTGTACTCACCCCGTACTTGTCCTGCATTCACCCTGTACTTGTCCTGTACTTGTCCTGTACTCACCCTGTACTTGTCCTGTACTCACCCCGTACTTGTCCTGTACTCACCCCGTACTTGTCCTGTACTCACCCTGTACTTGTCCTGTATTCACCCTGTACTTGTCCTGTACTTGTCCTGTACTCACCCTGTACTTGTCCTGTACTCACCCTGTACTCAACCCTGTACTTGTCCTGTATTCACCCCGTACTTGTCCTGTACTTGTCCTGTACTCACCCTGTACCTGTCCTGTACTCACCCTGTACTTGTCCTGTATTCACCCCGTACTTGTCCTGTACTCACCCCGTACTTGTCCTGCATTCACCCTGTACTTGTCCTGTACTTGTCCTGTACTCACCCTGTACCTGTCCTGTTCTCACCCTGTACTTGTCCTGTATTCATCCCGTACTTGTCCTGTACCCAACCCATACTTGTCCTGTACTCACCCTGTACTTGTCCTGTATTCACCCTGTACTTGTCCTGTACTTGTCCTGTACTCACCCTGTACCTGTCCTGTACTCACCCTGTACTTGTCCTGTATTCACCCCGTACTTGTCCTGTACTCACCCCGTACTTGTCCTGCATTCACCCTGTACTTGTCCTGTACTTGTCCTGTACTCACCCTGTACTTGTCCTGTACTCAACCCTGTACTTGTCCTGTATTCACCCCGTACTTGTCCTGTACTTGTCCTGTACTCACCCTGTACTTGTCCTGTACTCACCCTGTACTTGTCCTGTACTCACCCTGTACTTGTCCTGTACTCACCCTGTACTTGTCCTGTACTCACCCTGTACTTGTCCTGTACTCACCCTGTACTTGTCCTGTACTCACCCTGTACTTGTCCTGTACTCACCCTGTACTTGTCCTGTATTCACCCTGTACTTGTCCTGTACTTGTCCTGTACTCACCCTGTACTTGTCCTGTACTCACCCTGTACTTGTCCTGTACTCAACCCTGTACTTGTCCTGTATTCACCCCGTACTTGTCCTGTACTCACCCTGTACTTGTCCTGTATTCACCCCGTACTTGTCCTGTATTCAACCCTGTACTTGTCCTGTACCCAACCCATACTTGCCCTGTGCTCATCCCGTACTTGTCCTGTACCCAACCCATACTTGCCCTGTATCCAACCCGTACTTGTCCTGTACTCACCCTGTACTTGTCCTGTACCCAACCCGTACTTGTCTTGTACTCACCCTGTACTTGTCCTGTACTCACCCTGTACTTGTCCTGTACTCACCCTGTACTTGTCCTGTACTCACCCTGTACTTGTCCTGTACTCACCCTGAACTTGTCCTCTACTCACCCTGTACTTGTCCTGTACTCAATCCTGTACTTCTCACTGTTTTGACCATGTATGTAATCTATATTCATTTTCCCTTTTACTGGGCAGGAAATTGTTTTAGGATTTGAATGATATTGTTTAATTTCTGAACTACAAATATAGTGAAATTGTCTATCAAATAATAGTAACTAATCAACAATACAGTATTACTGCTATTTCTTTGTCTAATATAAACTGTGTTTTTGTGTATCAGGGGGACGACAGATGTGTCAAAGAACTGTATAGAACTAAACTCTCAACCAGTGGGCCTGGAGAGAATTAACAAGACTATTTATCTGGGTACAATGGATGAAATGATCCACTGTTATACCTCAAAGGTTAGTCACAGTGGTTGTCAGATTTTTCAATTACCTTGGTACTAAACCTCAAAGGTAAGTCTAAGTAGCATCTCACTTAACTTCATTGCTACACAACAATATTTAATCTGAGTATAGTCTCAACAAATTTTATTGATAGTTTGAGTCCCAATTGGCGATTATTGAGTAATAGTAACCTACTGTTGTCTTGTGTGAACTCATTGCACATAACCTAAGTTTATAACATGCTTGTCCATTTAGTATGACCTGCTAGAGAAACAAATGTCCTGTACAGACTGGGGTTTGTTACTGTTACTTGACTTTGTGTACTTACATTGTATCAGGGTAAAAAGCTGTGGACAGTCAAGATGCCAGCCGCAATCACCACCATGGAAACTATGGATTATAAGTCACGAGGGTTTAAGGCGGTTATTGTGGCTCTCAACAACTGTAAGGTACACATCTACAAGGAGAAGTACTTAGTTAATGTCATCAGCACCGACGATGTAGTCACAGGACTTAAGTTTGGCCGCTTCGGTCGGGAGGAAGGCACTCTGGTCATGACCACAAGAGGTTTGTAAACACAGCTGTACTGTCTATTCAGTATCTTTAGTGATTCAACAATGTGATGGTTACAAATTCAAGTTCTACCAATTTATTTAAAGGGAAACACTAAGCTTTGTCGAGAAACTGTCAATCTGTATACTATTCTTTGATACATTGACCTCCCGGAGTTCAAGATAATTTTACTGTATCAAGCTATAAATGTTGTTTCAGTTGTTTTAGTTTATTACTCTTATAGCTAGACTATAAATTTCATTTAGCGGGTAGGAATCCATCAACTGGGGGAGGCTGTACTTCACTGAGTCTGATAACCAGCAGATATTTAGTTGTAAAATATTGTATAAATACTAAAAACATGACAGCTGTGTGTTCAAATAGCTTTTTATACCTTAATCAATCTTTAAGAAGTCTATCCATTTTTAAATGTTGTGCAGGTGGAGGACTCGTGTTGAAGATCCTCCGTAGAAATGCCACATTTGAGGAGAAAGATATATCAGCTGGTCCTCCTATCGCCCAAAACACAAGACTCAATGTACCAAAGAAAACAAAGCTATTTGTGGACCAGACAATGAGAGAGCGTGATAATGCAGTTAGTAAGTGTTAATGGGTTACTGAGTACAGTATATAACTGACGACGAGAGAGCGTGATAATGCAGTTAGTAAGTGTTAATGGGTTACTGAGTACAGTATATAACTGACGACAAGAGAGCGTGATAATGCAGTTAGTAAGTGTTAATGGGTTACTGAGTACAGTATATAACTGACGATGAGAGAGCGTGATAATGCAGTTAGTAAGTGTTAATGGGTTACTGAGTACAGTATATAACTGACGACAAGAGAGCGTGATAATGCAGTTAGTAAGTGTTAATGGGTTACTGAGTACAGTATATAACTGACGACGAGAGAGCGTGATAATGCAGTTAGTAAGTGTTAATGGGTTACTGAGTACAGTATATAACTGACGACGAGAGAGCGTGATAATGCAGTTAGTAAGTGTTAATGGGTTACTGAGTACAGTATATAACTGACGATGAGAGAGCGTGATAATGCAGTTAGTAAGTGTTAATGGGTTACTGAGTACAGTATATAACTGACGACAAGAGAAGAGAGTGTGATAATGCAGTTAGTAAGTGTTAATGGGTTACTGAGTACAGTATATAACTGACGACAAGAGAGCGTGATAATGCAGTTAGTAAGTGTTAATGGGTTACTGAGTACAGTATATAACTGACGATGAGACAGCGTGATAATGCAGTTAGTAAGTGTTAATGGGTTACTGAGTACAGTATATAACTTACGATGAGACAGCGCGATAATGTAGTTTACAAGTGTTTAGGGGTTACTGAGTACAGTATATAACTGATGATAAGACAGCAAGATAATGTAGTCTACAAGTGTTTAGGGGTTACTGAGTACTGTATAGACCAGATATTACACTGATGACTCAGGAGATATATCTCACCGGTGACTTAGGAGATGTAATAAACTGGTGATTTAGGAGATGTATCACACTGGTGACTTGGTAAATTATTACAATGGTGACTTAGGAGATGTATTACCCTGGTGACTTAGTAGATTATTACAATGGTGACTTAGGAGCTGTATCACACTGGTGACTTAGTAGATGTATTACACTGGTGACTTAGTTGATGTATTACACTGGTGACTTAGTAGATGTATTACACTGGTGACTTAGGAGATGTATCACACTTGTGACTTAGATGTATTACACTGGTGACTTAGTAGATGTATTACACTGGTGACTTAGTAGATGTATTACACTGGTGACTTAGTAGATGTATTACCCTGGTGACTTCGTAGATGTTTTACACTGGTGACTTAGGAGATGTATTACACTGGTGACTTAGGAGCTGTATCACACTGGTGACTTAGGAGATGTATTACACTGGTGACTTAGTTGATGTATTACACTGGTGACTTAGTAGATGTATTACCCTGGTGACTTCGTAGCTGTTTTACACTGGTGACTTAGGAGATGTATTACAATGGTGACTTAGTAGATGTATTACACTGGTGCCTTAGTAGATGTATTACACTGGTGACTTAGTAGATGTATTATACTGGTGACTTAGGAGATGTATTACCCTGGTTACTTAGTAGATGTATTACACTGGTGACTTAGGAGCTGTATCACACTGGTGACTTAGGAGATGTATTACACTGGCGACTTAGGAGATGTATAACACTGGTGACTTAGGAGATGTATTACAATGGTGACTTAGTAGATGTATTACACTGGTGACTTAGGAGATGTATTACCCTGGTGACTTAGTAGATGTATTACACTGGGGACTTAGGAGATGTATTACACTGGGGACTTAGTAGATGTATTACACTGGTGACTTAGGAGATATATCACAATGGTGACTTAGGAGATGTATAACACTGGTGACTTAGGAGATTATTACAATGGTGACTTAGTAGATGTTAACACTAATGACTTGGGAGATATATTACACTTGTGACTTAGGAGATGTATTACACTGGTGACTTAGGAGATTTATTACACTAGTGACTTAGGAGATGTATTACACTGGTGACTTAGTAGATGTATTACAATGTTGACATAGTAAATTATTACGCTAGTGACTTGAAGATGTATTACACTGGTGACTAAGGAGATGTATTACACTGGTGATATCAAAATGTCAAATAAGTATAAATATAAGATATCATTTCAGCCATTTGTTGAACAATGTTGACATAGTATATTATTATGCTTGTGACTTTAAGATGTATTACACTGGTGACTAAGGAGATGTATTACACTGGTGACATCAAAATGTCAAATAAATATAAATATTAGATATCATTTCAGCCATTTGTTGAACAATGTTGACATAGTAAATTATTATGCTTGTGACTTTAAGATGTATTACACTGGTGACTAAGGAGATGTATTACACTGGTGACATCAAAATGTCAAATAAATATAAATATTAGATATCATTTCAGCCATTTCAACACCTTGTGTTGAGAAGGAGAATATTTGCCTGTTGTAGATTGTCAGAAAATGTTTTGAATATATATATATATATATGTACCCATGTATTAACTCAAGATTATTTATGTAGCCATGCACAGGACGTTCCAGAGGGACCTGTACTTACTGCGGTTAAACACAGCACGCGAGTATGTCAAGTCATTGGAGAATAGCATGAACCCTGTATCAGCTGATCCCACAGAACCCCTCAAACTCAATGCCCAGGTAAACATCACCCCACAGAACCCCTCAAACTTAATGCCCAGGTAAACATCAACCCACAGAACCCTTCAAACTCAATGCCAAGGTAAACATCACCTTATGGATCCCCTCAAACTCAATGCCCAGGTAAAACATCATCACCCCACAGAACCCCTCAAACTCAATGCCCAGATAAACATTACCCTATGGATCCCCTCTAACTCAATTCCCAGATAAACATCACCCTATGGATCCCCTCAAACACAATGCCCAGATAAACATCACCCTATGGAACCCCTCTAACTCAATGCCCAGGTAAACATCACCCTATGGAACCCCTAAAACTCAACACCCAGGTAAACATCACCCCCCAGAACCCCTCAAACTCAATGCCCAGGTAAACATTACCTCACTGAACCCCTCACATTCAATGCCCAGGTAAACATCACCCCACAGAACCCCTCAAACTCAATGCCCAGATAAACATCACCTCACAGAACCCCTCAAACTCAACACCCAGGTAAACATCACCCCACAGAACCCCTCAAACTCAATGCCCAGATAAACATCACCCTATGGAATCCCTTAAACTCAACACCCAGGCGAACATCTACCCTCTAAATTGGAATCTTGTACATATTTTCTTATTCGTGTTTGTATTGAGATAAACATGAATCACAAACATTGAAATATGTCTGTGTGATTGTTCAGTATATGCTTCTAAGTCAAGCTGAACATATGTATGCTTATTTTTTGAAATGCTTTAAACTAAATTTGAAGAAGTTCACTATTAATTTTGCTTAGTTAGCATCTACCATATAACCCCGAGTGAATATTTCTTTGAACTTTTACAACAAGTTTGCCGCAACAGTATTTTCATAAAAGGATACTGTCATTCTCAATAGAACTGTATAAAACTACTACTGTTTTTAAATGTATTCTTCATTAACTGTTCCAGACAGCTCAGGTAGTTAAAGACTTGGACTATGATAGTTGCAGGGTTGTTATTTCCATAATGCGACTAATGTATGACGAAGCCTCTCATTTACTTAGATTCACCACTTGTCCTTCACTGTGTCCGCAGAATTTCTTTCACTATCTGATATTTTTGATTTCAGGTTCAAGGGATTGGTCCTACATTTAAATTGACAGTTAATTTACAAAATACGTCCCTAAGCCATCCGTCCACCAACCTCCTCATCACCTTCCAGTATGATGACAGACTGTACACATTGAAGAAGTCTCTCATACAGGTAACTGTTTTCATACAGTTAAATTTTATCATACAGGTAACTGTCTGTTCTCATACCGGTAAATTTTATCATACAGGTAAATATCTGTTCTCCTACTAGCAGATTTTATCATACAGGTAACTGTTCTCATACCGGTAACTATCTGTTCTCATACCGGTAACTCTTATCATACAGGTCACATTATACTAATGTGAAGAGACAATATTCTGATAAGTCAATAAAAAAGATAACCACTTCTGTGTTCTGTTCTTCACCGACCTGGGATCTGCCACTTCTGTGTTCTGTCCTTAACCGACCTGGGATCTGCCATTTCTGTGTGCTGTTCTTAACCGACCTGGGATCTGCCACTTCTGTGTTCTGTTCTTCACCAACCTGGGATCTGCCATTTCTGTGTTCTGTTCTTAACCGACCAGGGATCTGCCACTTCTGTGTTCTGTTCTTAACCGCCCTGGGATCTGCCACTTCTGTGTTCTGTTCTTAACCGACCTGGGATCTGCCACTTCTGTGTTCTGTTCTTTACCGACCTGGGATCTGCCATTTCTGTGTTCTGGTCTTAACCGGCCTGGGATCTGCCACTTCTGTGTTCTGTTCTTTACCGACCTGGGATCTGCCATTTCTGTGTTCTGGTCTTAACCGGCCTGGGATCTGCCACTTCTGTGTTCTGTTCTTTACCGACCTGGGATCTGCCATTTCTGTGTTCTGGTCTTAACCGGCCTGGGATCTGCCACTTCTGTGTTCTGTTCTTTACCGACCTGGGATCTGCCATTTCTGTGTTCTGTTCTTAACTGACCTGGGATCTGCCACTTCTGTGTTCTGTTCTTAACCGACCTGGGTTCTGCCACTTCTGCTTTCTGTTCTTCACTGACCTGGGATCTGCCACTTCTGCGTTCTGTTCTTCACCGACCTGGGATCTGCCATTTCTGTGTTCTGGTCTTAACCGGCCTGGGATCTGCCACTTCTGTGTTCTGTTCTTCACCGCCCTGGGATCTGCCATTTCTGTGTTCTGTTCTTAACCGACCTTGGATCTGCCATTTCTGTGTTCTGTTCTTAACTGACCTGGGATCTGCCACTTCTGTGTTCTGTTCTTTACCGACCTGGGATCTGCCATTTCTGTGTTCTGTTCTTCACTGACCTGGGATCTGCCACCTCTGTGTTCTGTTCTTCACCGACCTGGGATCTGCCACTTCTGTGTTCTGTTCTTAACCGACCTGGGATCTGCCATTTCTGTGTTCTGTTCTTAACCGACCTGGGTTCTGCCACTTCTGTTTTCTGTTCTTCACTGACCTGGGATCTGCCACTTCTGTGTTCTGTTCTTCACCGACCTGGGATCTGCCATTTCTGTGTTCTGATTACCAGTAGTGTTAATCTCAGATTGTAGAGTGATTTGCTGTATGTCTGTAACATCTAACAGTATTACTTTTGTTATGTGATTTTTCCTTGATTAATTTTAATACTCTCACTTGTAAAGTACAACCAGCTGTATTGTTAAAAACCTTCGTTTCTGTGTGGTGCCAGTACTTGACCAAGAATGTTGTGTCCCTGATTTCTACATGTTGCTATTTGGACAGGTGCCCATGCTCGTGCCTGGCCTCAGCTATGCCTTTGAGACGTTTGTGGAGTGTTTGAATGACAAGGGAGTATCTGATAATCTCAAGGTAAACAGGTCATCATCATGGTCGTGATCAAGGTCATAGTCAAATTTAGTTAAGAAGTTTAGTCGAGTCAGAACTTAAGCCATTAGAGTTCTACTCTCAGCTACCTGCAATGTCACCCCATATGTCAAATATATTATTCTAGTTGTAAGTTAAGAATAATCTTAAAACTGAGATCATTGTCAAAGTCATATATATGTGGCAATCCATAAGGTTTTACCATACTTCAATCCTGCATATATTTGCAGAAAATGTTGTCATAGTAACTTTGGAACAATGAGAGAGCTAAACAAAACTAGAGATTGTTATATGAAAGATGAAGGATACAATTAACCTGCAGAAGACATTATCAAGAAGCATGTTGGGTTGGATATGTATAGTGAATAACTTTTAGTCCTTTATTTGTGCTGATATTTCCCACATGTTACTGGCATATGGATATTTGTGATATTGAGTTCCTGTATATTTTTCTGTTTCAGGTATTTGTATTGAAAGAAGGCAAGAGTATACCTATAATTACTGGAGTGATTAGTATGCCAGTCAGTGAGTCTTTGGTGGTGGCTTAGATTTTCTACAATGACACAGGTACACCTGGAAACTATACTGAAACCCAATTACACTGAGAGCCCCCAGTAACCACAGCAGGGACAAACCTATTACATACATGTAACTATGTACAACAATGCTGACGTACCTTACACAGTGATCACAAACACTTGCCAGGCTTGTAAAATCTTCAATACCAAGCTATCACTGGATCATGATATATATGCGTTTTGCAAGAACTGTTCTACCCTCTGTATTGCACAACAACTGCAGTGAAAACAAGGTTTAGCAGTTTCCCAAGGGTCGAGATATATTCTCAGCCCACATTCAAACAACTATTTCTACCAGATCTTATCTTAAATGATATGCAAGAAAAAAAAATCACTGAACAAGAATGCTTCTATACCAGCCTGCAGCCTACTACATATCTGAGTGACAGAAGTCAGTGGTGGCCTTCCAGTTAGTATCTGTATATCGATATGTAGGGGGATACGTTACATTTGTAAGATGCTGACATCCTATTGGTTGTACTGATGTTGTTTGCCAATATCTGTTTGATGAATCCCTGTAGCTATGGTCTTAAACTCAGTCTTGACAAAATAAAACACCACTCAAGAATGGCTGTCTGATTCTTAGATATTGAAAATCAAATGTGTTGTTTGTGGTATTACATTGTCCATACTACATTGTTTCACAGTGCCTGTAATACATTGTTTTGTAATGTCTAAAACATTGTAATGTTTGTGGTACATTGTATTACAATGTCTGTAATACATTGTATAGTAATGTCTAATACATTGTATTGTAATGTCTGTAATACATTATAATACAATGTCTGTAATAAATTGTATTATAATGTTTGTAGTAAATTGATTTCTGTGTAATTTTGTAAATTGATATGATAGATTGTATCCTGTTGGATATAACCAACCTGATACTACATAATTGCATGTATGACTGCCACACCTGTTTTCTATTGAAGTATTTTTGTATTCATATCTAAGAGGCAAAGAATAGTGTACAGATTTTTCCTCAAAGTATGCCGTCCATTCTACTTCCTAGAAAGGTAAAAGCTTACCAATCAGTATATTCCCTGGAAAGGTCTCAGTTTACTGTCCATATATACACAGGAGAGCTACCAGTTTACTGTCCATAAATATACACAGGAGAGCTACCAGTTTACTGTCCATAAATATACACAGGAGAGCTACCAGTTTACTGTCCATATATATACCCAGGAGAGCTACCAGTTTACTGTCCATATATATACCCAGGAGAGCTACCAGTTTACTGTCCATATATATACCCAGGAGAGCTACCAGTTTACTGTCCATATATACCCAGGAGAGCTACCAGTTTACTGTCCATATATACCCAGGAGAGCTACCAGTTTACTGTCCATATATATACACGGGAGAGCTACCAGTTTACTGTCCATATATACACATGAGAGCTACCAGTTTACTGTCCATATATACACAGGATAGCTACCAGTTTACTGTCCATATATATACACAGGAGAGCTACCAGTTTACTGTCTATATATATACACAGGAGAGCTACCAGTTTACTGTCCATATATCCACAGGAGAGCTACCAGTTTACTGTCCATATATATACACGGGAGAGCTACCAGTTTACTGTCCATATATACACATGAGAGCTACCAGTTTACTGTCCATATATACACAGGAGAGCTACCAGTTTACTGTCCATAAATATACACAGGAGAGCTACCAGTTTACTGTCCATAAATATACACAGGAGAGCTACCAGTTTACTGTCCATATATACACATGAGAGCTACCAGTTTACTGTCCATATATACACAGGAGAGCTCCCAGTTTACTGTCCATATATATACACAGGAGAGCTACCAGTTTACTGTCCATATATATACACGGGAGAGCTACCAGTTTACTGTCCATATATACACATGAGAGCTACCAGTTTACTGTCCATATATACACATGAGAGCTACCAGTTTACTGTCCATATATACACAGGAGAGCTACCAGTTTTCACTTTGATTTCTTTTTCAGAACACGTATAACATTAATTGCAAAAATAATTTGCCAAAATGAATGCAATCATTATCTTCAGGAGGGGGGTCTTGGCTAAGGATGATTTCATGAATTTAATTGTTTTCTGTATGTTTGCTTCACCTCGAGACACATACAATTGGGGTATCCAGTGTGAAGGTGAACGTTTACGAATATGTTTAAGTTCCAAAACATGTTTTTTTGTGTCCAGTACATAATTTCTTACTTTTGACTCTATTTCAATGAAATTCTTAGGCGCAAGATAAAGGCCACGGAAAGTTTTAAGTTGTATGCAAATTTTTCATAGATGATAGGACAGTGAAATTCGTTTATTAACATTTATACTGACCTGCAGTAGATACTGATCTGGCTTATAACTAGACATGGGCTTATTGCTGGACAAATAAATATATATATGTTCATAATTACCAGCATTTCGGGTATATATTTGTATCTGAATTTCTATCATTGTTAATTCATTCTTGAAATATTGATTTCATAAACAAAAGTTTTAGCGAGATGATATTTACACATCACCCCACTGAAATCTTGTGTCAATTTCACCACAAGCTTCACAAATACGTCGCCCCCTTGTTTGTTCAATTCTGATCGTCTGTGATACACTTATGTATGTATAACTTTGCAATAAAGTTGAAATTTGTGAAACATATCTGGGTTTTTGTTTGTTTGTTGTTTTTGTTGTTTTAAATTCTACAGAGAATATTTTGTTATAATGAAGTGACTTTAAAATATCTTCAGTAGTTAAGATATCATGCTCTGGTGATACTGGAAAAAAAAATACGACTGGATTTGACTTCAATTTGTCACCTTAAAATGGTTTACATGTGTGTGATCTTTAAGCTATTTTCATTGGTAACAAGTTGTGCTCTATACAAGACAAAGTTCACAGACAATCCTATTATAACATGTCAAAGTCAAACACAGGCCTTATGAATACACAAGTCAGGAAACTGATATGAAATCTAGTGTAAATATTTTATTTTTAAAAGACAACTGAAAGGGTAAAACAATTATTTGAAGAACAGGATACAGATGATTGGAGACATTAGCATCATATAAAATAGACACAAAATAAAACCAAGTCAATAATGGCTACAACAGATGTGATAATGCTAGAGAATGTTAAAATGTCTAGATGATTTCTGTAGCATACACCCTCACACTCGCCTAACACTCAATAACAGCCGTACGTAGCCATCAACGGTCATCACAAACTACATTTGATGAGATTCTCTTTAAATATAGAACACAACAGGCAAATTACATGTCCTCCTGACAAGGAGCTGTGTCATATCTCGGGGTTCCCCAACACGTATAGAGCTAAAACTCCAGAGGACAGAGTCTTTGACACGGTTCTAGGTCTGTCACAAGACGTATAGAGCTTAAACTCCAGAGGACAGAGTCTGTGACACGGTTCTCGGTCCGTCACAACACATATAGAGCTAAAACTCCAGAGGACAGAGTCTGTGACACGGATCTCGGTCCGTCACAAGACGTATAGAGCTAAAACTCCAGAGGACAGAGTCTGTGACACAGATCTAGGTCCTTCACAAGACGTAAAGAGCTAAAACTCCAGAGGACAGAGTCTTTGACAAGGATCTCGGTCCGTCACAAGACGTATAGAGCTAAAACTCCAGAGGACAGAGTCTGTGACACGGTTCTAGGTCCGTCACAAGACGTATAAAGCTAAAACTCCAGAGGACAGAGTCTTTGACAAGGATCTCGGTCCGTCACAAGACGTATAGAGCTAAAACTCCAGAGGACAGAGCCTTTGACAAGGATCTCGGTCTGTCACAAGACGTATAGAGCTAAAACTCCAGAGGAGTCTTTGACAAGGATCTCGGTCTGTCACATATACAGGACAGAGTCTGTGACAAGGAATCTCGGTCTGCCACAAGACGTATAGAGCTAAAACTCCAGAGACAGGAACAATATGTATATATAGAGATGAAACACAAGAGGACTTTGTATTTGACTATGTGCTTAGTCACAATTCTCTGACTATCACAAGGTGTGTATAGTGCTACAGTTCCAAACAAACTTGGCTCGGTTTTCATTTAGGTGTGATAATCATAATTAAATGCCATAAAAGTTATATAAGCCAAAGAATTAATTTTCATTTTGATTATATGTTGATAAAGTCTTTGGTAGCAGTAAGCAGATCTGAAGTATCAACACAGCGATCGTCATTACTAATGCTGTAACTTTCTTCTTCAGTAGGCATCAAGAAACTGTCTAATTTCCTTGTTCATATAGAAAAATAAATATGCAAATCGTCAGTTTCGCGAGCTGCTTAAAAATATATTCCATTTTATACGGGACCCGTCTATAATTGGAAAAATACTTCCTAATTTAGCAGAAATTTGCCATAAATATCAGACTCGTATAACAAAAAAAACCAAAACATTTTCACCTGGTAAATCATTATCAATCATTCAAGAAACTTCAACCCAATGGCCCCTGTGCCCTTAAAAGTGTTAGGATAAAACTCAATTGCAATAAGAAAGTGATCATAAGATCAGTTTTGGTCCAACAGGCTTTCAAAGAGATTTGTCACATGTGTAAGTTACACACAAAATGCATACTTCAGAAAATGTCACTTTGACTAAATGCCTGTATATAAACCTTTCCAATAAAGCATTGATACCTTAGTGTCCCATTAACAGTTATACTGAATACAATTAAAAAATTGTGTCAACAAGTATAGGTATGTTAAGCCAATAAGCTCAAAGACATAGCCATAATTTGAACAGTCTTTTTTAGTACAGGGCCTCTGTAAATAAACAACACATGTTATGGAGAATATATCAAAGGATTAAACAATGACTCACTGTATACTGGGACATTTCTGCAGAAAGTATAATTTTCCCGTCGCAATGCACAAAGAATACCCTACCTAGAAATTATGTGAATGGAGAAATGTATACTGGACACCAGTGGGGGAAGATAATTTATACTGGACAGGTCGGTCACCAGTGGGGGAAGATAAATTTATACTGGACAGGTCTGTCACCAGTGGGTGAAGAGAAATTTATACTGGACAGGTCTGTCACCAGTATACCATAAACATATATACAGATAGTTTGTTAATACATGTAACTTGTTTTTGATCCCCGATGCAGTTATAGACATATGTTTGACTGTCTATCTCATTATGTGTGCAGTGAATTGCAGAAAAATGCTTGCATTAAAATGTTATAAAATATATAAAAAAATAATAAGAAAATTATAAAAAGAGAAAGAATCTATCCGACTCTAAAACAGCTGCTCTTGAAAGGAAGTCTTAATTTTCTCAAGCAATAGGAGGACTTTATGGACATTTTGGATTGTGAATCATCTATCAGGACCTTATGCCCCAGACACACTGTCACGGTATTGGCCACGGCATATCCCTGATGTTCCTGGTTCTTTATACCGTGGCAAATCGTTGCCATTTCTCCAATTTTGGCCTGAAAACAGTTATCTACGGCGTTGTAAGAATAGTACTACCGTACAGCAAGGTGTTGCTACAATAACATTACGGCCAACTACGGACCACCACGATAGGCCACGATACATCCAGGTTCCACTGCGGTTTCATCATGTATGACTATGGTTTGTCCCTGGTTTCTAAGGTTATGCTACGGTCCACCAAGGTAGTGCTACATCATCCCCGGTTCTGTCACGGTGTCACTGGGGTTAAGCTTTGGTTTGTCATGTGCCGCCCTGGTGGCTATATATTTGGACAATTTTAAAACTCAAAATCAGTTTTCTTTAACAGACCAAACGAGAAGCAAGTCTCAAACTACTTAAGACCCTATCGTTTCTTTGTTGCTGAATAGCTTTGACCATCACCATGTAGTTTGCAACTTGCTGCATGTTCAATTCTAGAAGCCAGTTCATCATCTGAAGTTTGTTTCTGTGGTTGTTGATGCGAAGTATATGATATACAATATAAGTTGGAGCAGATTTTGTCCCCAATTTATAGCACCCGGACCTGGAACCGCAACAAACCTTATTCCTGCCGTCACTGCCATTCAGCAACCGTAGCACCACCGTAATATAGACGCAGTGTCACCGTGTCACACCTTGGAAATCCTGAAGCAACAGTGAATCACTGTAGTGTCACCTTTATGAAATTGATGTAGAAATGGCACATACCGTGTTAGACCACGATGTACCGTACCATAGTGGGCGGTTGTTGTAATGACACCGCAGTACTGCTCTGAGTCACCCTAGTCATGCCGCGAGTCACCGTGACTTCCGAACATTACGATCACCGCCAGATGGCCAGTGATACTACTGTGACAGTATGGTTTTCAAAATAACTTGGCATGGCTACAGATGACTCAAGAGGTTTTAAACAGTTTAAAACTAGTGATTTAAAGTTCCCAGCGATTTACAGCTGTAAAAACAGAGTTCCCAGCATGATTTACAGCTGCAAAAACAGAGTTCTCAGCGATTTACAGCTGTAAAAACAGATTCCCAGCGATTTACAGCTGTAAAAACAGAGTTCCCAGCGATTTACAGCTATAAAAAACAGAGTTCTCAGCGATTTACAGCTGTAAAAACAGATTCCCAGTGATTTACAGCTGTAAAAACAGAGTTCCCAGCGATTTACAGCTGTAAAAAAAGAGTTCCCAGCGATTTACAGCTGTAAAAACAGAGTTCCCAGCATGATTTACTGTATGCAGTACATGCAAAATATTTTGATTCTTTATTGTCAATAACATAACTTACATATTAAGTATTGGAAGATTTAACACAAAGAACAAATATCTTATTGCACAAATTAAACTAAGCACTGTAATAATTATGTAAACATAAGTTTCAAACATAACCACAACAAAAGTAGGCATTTTAGTTGTTGTGTAACAGGCTACCCCACCACTCAGCTTTACAATTTCACCACTCCAGCTTCCTTACACACATCAGAAAAATCCTCGGTATCATGATTCAAACTTAACATTACAAATTAAAACAAGAGGCCCAGAGGGCCTGTATCGCTCACCTGAATATGTTTAAAATAATAAGCATGAAGTAAAGATATAGCACTCCATGGTAGTACATATGAAATTTCAGAAAGATCCATCCAGTACTTGAGATATAGCGAGAACAAACTTCAAACAGAGCTCCACCCCTATGCCCCTAGGGGGGTCATACCCACCAATTATACAAAATTGAGACCCCTTAATTGGTCCAAGTATGCTCCAGACTAAATTAGGATAAAATCCCTTAATCCCAATGGTCGAAGAAGGATTTTAAAGGTTTTACCTCTATTTCCCCTATTGGGCCCGACTCTCTGCCTCCAGGGGGGTTAGACACACCGTTTATACAAAATTGGTTCCCCTTCATCCAATGATGCTTCATACCAAATTTGGACAAAATCCTGTCATTCGTACAGAAGAAGGTATTTGAAGAATTTGCTATGTTTCCCCTATTGGGCCCCTCCCTTCTGTCCCCAGGGGGGGCCACACTCGCTGTTTATACGAAATTGAGTCCCTTTTGTCCAAGGATGCTCAAGAATAAATTAGGATAAAATCCCTTAATCCATATGGTAGAAGAAGGATTATAAAGGTTTTACTTATATTTCCCCTATTGGGCCCGACCCCTCAGGTCACAGGGGGGCCATACCCACTGTTTATAAAAAATTAGTTCCCCTTTACCCAAGGATGCTCCACACTAAATATGGACCAAATCCTTTCATTCCTACAGAAGAAGGATTTTAAAGAATAATTTGCTATGTTTCCCCTATTTGGCCCCGCCCCTCAGGCCCCTGGGGGGCCACACCTACCGTTTATACAAAATTGGTTCCAATTCACCCAAGGATGCTTCAGACTAAATATGGAACAAATCCTTTCATTCCTACAGAAGAAGAAGGATATTAAAGAATTTGCTATATTTCACCTATTGGGCCCCACCCCTGAGGCCCCTGGGGGGCCAGAACCACGGTTTATACAAAATTGGTTCCCATTCACCCAAGGATGCTTCAGACCAAATATGGAACAAATCCTTGCATTCCTACAGAAGAAGAAGGATTTTAAAGAATTTGCTATATTTCCCCTATTGGGCCCCACCCCTCAGCCCCAAGGGGGGCCACACCCACCATTTATAATCTACTTGGCCGTTCAGGACTAGTAGCGTTTTAAAGGAAAAGTTGACGGACAGACGACGGACACTGCGGTATGGCATAAGCTCACCATGGTCCTTTGGACCAGGTGAGCTAAAAATTATGTGTAAAATTTCTTATTTGTTTTTTTCTTCGAATTTAATATGCATACTGGATTGTAATATCTGCCAATCATAGTTGCTGTGCTTTGACGAAAAAGTGTTTCAATTTTTAAAATAAAAATATCAATGACTGAACTGGTAACATTTATGTTAATACATGTACACATACTATCATCCATATAAGTACAGAGATTTATTCCTTTAAGGCTTCAAAATGGACACACAAGTTTATCTTATGTATTATTGAATTCTATATTAATTAATGAATGATGGAAAATATCTTCAGTAGATACGCAAAACAAAGTATACAGCAATGTATGACTAGTAATGTGATGTTTATAGACCAGTAAACTAGTAATGTGGTGTTCATGGACCTGTATACTGTACTGTATAACCAGTAATGTGATGTTTATAGACCAGTATACTAGTAATGTGGTGTTTATGGACCTGTATACTGTACTGTATGACTAGTAATGTGGTGTTTATAGACCAGTATACTAGTAATGTGGTGTTTATGGACCTGTATACTGTACTGTATGACTCGTAATGTGATGTTTATAGACCAGTATACTAGTAATGTGATGTTTATGGACCTGTATACTGTACTGTATGACTAGTAATGTGGTGTTTATAGACCTGTATACTGTACTGTATGACTCGTAATGTGATGTTTATAGACCAGTATACTAGTAATGTGATGTTTATGGACCTGTATACTGTACTGTATGACTAGTAATGTGATGTTGATAGACCAGTATACTAGTAATGTGGTGTTTATGGACCTGTATACTGTAATGTATGACTAGTAATGTGGTGTTTGACTAGTGACGATCTACAAGTTCCATAAGGGAAGAGATTTAATTCCTCAGTGAACTGCCATATTAACTATACATAGTAAATAAACATCATCAAACAAATTCTCAATATATTAACTTGACCTATGTAATGGACCTTTGGACTAAATGACAATAATGAAGATCATGATGAAAGAGAATGGTATTACAGTATATAAAATTCTTTGGTAACCCATCTGAACCTTTGGTGGTGGTCTCTCATTCATTCAGATGCTAAATCAAGAGTTTCAAGAATAGAAAGGTGAGTGTGGTTTGATTATATCTGTGTTACGTAGAGGGCTTTTACAATTGAAATGCTTCAAACAAATACTCGTTGTTATGACCAGTCAGAGCAGGACAGAAACATAGTCCAATGCAAAAATAACAATCAGAACAGGAAACAAACTAACAATCAGGGCAGGTAGAGGAAACAAATTAACAATCAGAACAGGTAGAGGAAAAAAACTAACAATCAGGGCAGGTAGAGTAAACAAACTAACAATCAGGGCAGGTAGATGAAACAAACTAACAATCAGGGCAGGTAGAGGAAACAAACTAACAATCAGAACAGGTAGAGGAAACAAACTAACAATCAGAACAGGTAGAGGAAACAAACTAACAATCAGGGCAGGTAGAGGAAACATAGAAACAATCAGAACAGGTAGAGGAAACAAACTAACAACAAGGCAGGTAGAGGAAACAAACTAACAATCAGAACAGGTAGAGGAAACAAACTAACAATCAGGGCAGGTAGAGGAAACAAATTAACAATCAGAACAGGTAGAGGAAAAAAACTAACAATCAGGGCAGGTAGAGGAAACAAACTAACAATCAGGGCAGGTAGATGAAACAAACTAACAATCAGGGCAGGTAGAGGAAACAAACTAACAATCAGAACAGGTAGAGGAAACAAACTAACAATCAGAACAGGTAGAGGAAACAAACTAACAATCAGAACAGGTAGAGGAAATATAGAAACAATCAAAGTAACTTTGTCTTTAAAAGCAAAATATAACAAACAAGATCAACAATTTCTTAAATAGTGCACAAGGCAACTGCATTTCAAACAATAGCACAACAAATGAAATATTGATATGCCCATTGTAACTTTAAAATAACCCTGAAACAGCTACACTGTATCAGATTTATAATATGTTAAGACATTTGAAATACCATATGGTTCTTGCCCTATACTGTATATCTTGAAAATCTATTCCAGCACTCTGTGTATGTCTATGATGGAGTTCATTAAAATATCTTTATAGTAAGTAAATACCTTAAGTAAGTAAAACCTGGCCTCATTTTTGTGAAGTTGTCCTTTTGGACAAGTCCTGAAAGAGACTGCACAGTAATCTATGTCTACAGAAAAGCAAAAATGTTATTTTAATATTTTTTTAATGGCAGTCAATTTAAACCATGGCATTGGAGAGGGAAAGATTTGGAAATAGTACATATTACAATGCCTGGTATATATATATGTATGTATATATATGTGTGTAGGAACTTCATTTATATTGAATACATTTTTCAAACAATTTTCTTTGTTGCCTCGGCAACGGAGGGAAGTCTGATAACCTACCTATTACTGGTGATACATTAACAATATTTCATTGAAATGTTACCTTCACTGCCATGCTGAGTACGCTATCCTGAATCTTACTTTGATGAGCACTAACACCAAAGCTGTCCTCCGTCTTCAATATGACGGTTAATACTATGATTATCATAATATTGTAGATGTTGATGAAATGCACTATTCACCAAAACAATCTCCGCTGGCATAATTAAAAAATAAATAAAAAATGCCAGTGTGCTTTAAGTGGAACATATATACATATCACTTGTACATTAAACATAGACAGGTACACAATTGGAAGAGAACTGAGCATTTCTTTGTTTCAATCAATGTTCAACACTTCACAAGGTTGCTCCATGCTATAAGACAACATCCTTTCCTGGTTTCCTCAAAAGCATCAATGTGGATTTACTTTAGTTGTCAAGTGTCTTTAACATTTTTAACCAATCTGCTAAGATGATGCTATTTCCTTCTTTGACAGGAAAATGGTCTCCTATATGATCATGTGATCAGCTCTGTTGTTACTGGTCCCGTAACTATGGGTTACCATTGGTCCCTGACTTATACTTGTTCTTCCTTCCAGAAGCCTACTTTCCTCTCCACTACTGGGCACACCAGGTGTTTGTGATGGTAATTGTATAGTTATTTACAGTCAAATTGATTCTTTGTCTCAATATCCTTGACCAGACATTTTCATCAACATTCCAATATGATGCAAACTTTTGCCTCAGGATTCGTCATGAGAAACAGCCATGATTAAAGTTGTATAGAGCACTGACGTCTACACACTGATAAAGTCAAACTTATCTACAGAGATAACGTGTTGAGAGAAGACGTAACGTGCTTGTGGTGATCATGCTCTTCATAATGACATATGTCTACAAATGTTAACTATTCACACAGTGTACTAAATATGTAATCCAATCAACAATATCCCCAGTGATTACCTCAATAACATCCTCATATATACAAAGTTAGAGGCTGAGACACTGGTCAGTATAACTCTATCACAGCTAGACTTCCCCTACAGTAATCACAGATCTGTCATCAACATCACATGAAAGTCCTTGAGGATTTCCCACTCACATTTACTAATAATAGTCCTCGAGGATTTCCTACTCACAGTTACTAATAATAGTCCCCGAGGAGTTTCCGATTTACAGTTACTAATAATAGTCCTTGAGGATTTCCCACTCACAGCTACTAATAATAGTCCTTAAGGATTCTCCTCTCACAGTTAATGAGATCTGATGATGATATATAATTAACTACATAATAAAAAGAATTCTTTGGGGGAGAAACATGAATAAATTAATTATAAAATTTGATAACATGATGATAACAATGAGATGTCACAACAATACTCTATGGGCTTAGAGCCACCTGACAAGTCAGCCCTGACAGACAAGCTTGAGGCACGAGTCTGTTGTAGGTCTGTTGTAGGAATGACCGTTCAGACGTGACTCTATAATAGAATACAAGCAGCTGTTAGACATCTGTCTCTGGTTTTGTTGCTAATTTAACCTCTTCATGGATCATGTCTGCCTTTTCCAGCTCCTGAAACAAGATCAAAATTTTCCTGTAAGTGTAGTAGCATATTTGTAGATTTTTTTTACATTTCCTTTGTCATCTCAGTCAAAAAGTATAGAATTACACCCTTGTTATTTTTTATTTCTTTGAATTTTTTTTCAATGACATTTGCTCTTAGTTTAACTTTTGTTTCACATACAAACATGTCAGCTCAATTTGAGGTGAGATGAGGAACCAATACATTCTCAAGATAAACATTATATTTTAAACCTTTTTGAGGGTAAAACAGAAGCTTTCTCTAAACACTGCAAGTGAAGCTAATGTAAAGTAGCCACCAGGGTTTGAACACTGGCAAATGTTCATCACTTCAAGGTTGACCAGGGCTGGTTTGGAAAAATACTGAATACATGTAATTCAGTGCAGCTTGGAAAATGAGAACTCTGAATTATCACACCATTTTTTAAGAGTTTTTCATGCGAACAATTTTCTCATCGCAAGCATGTGGATAAAATCGAGAGGCCACCACAGGTGGACTTGAGATTTTATCTACCTGCGAGCAATGAGAAAATTGTTCTCACGACAAACTCTGAAAATACTGTGTGATAAACTGTTTATCATTCATGTACTACTACCTTATACATTTCTCCATTTTAACAAGAGGTCCAGAGGGCCTGTATCGCTCACCTTGATAATAAAGCAAGCATGGAAAATTGTTCTTATTACATATAACAACTATTTCCAAATATTGGCTCTGACTCTCAGCAACACCCTTCCCTCATGATTAGGTCCCTTCTTTCTGCCCCCATGAATTGGGAATGATTTCAAACGTAAATCACAATTTCCCCTATTGGGGCCAACCCTCTGGCGTTTATACAAAATTTAGTCACCTTTGCCCAAGGATGATCCAAGCCAGATTTAGTCAAAATCCATAAAGCTGTTCAGGACTAGTAAAGTTTTAAAGGAAAAGTGGACAAGATGGACGGACGATGGACGCTGCAGTACGGCATAAGCTCACCATGGTCCTTAGGACAAGTTGAGCTAAAAAGTCAACTAAACACCATGTTTTCCAAATGACTTCTAAGCTCAATGGTCAACGACCACAAATGCTCAGTCTGTGCGGAGGAATACAATGAACCTTAATTAAAACTTTTTAATACAATCCTATCATCATTGGCTTTTCCATCTGCACATTTACACTTGAAATAATAGGGGATCACTTTTGTGTGGATATCACTTCCGGTTTAGGACGTTGCCTGGCGCGAGCAGACGTCTATTTTTGAGAAAATACGTTCCCAAATGACGGGAAATGGGAAAATCCGTTCTCAAGTTGTTCTGAACTTTTACTTGAGTATTCTCATACTGAAAACCCATGATAATGAATTTATAATGCTACCGGTAGGTGGTATAAAACACAGTAAACCCTTGATATAATGCCCCTCGTTAGATTTGCCACCTGGATTACCGCCCAAATATTTCCCTCAATTTATTGCCAAACCCCTTTATTACGCCACAATTTCTCTGGACATATGATGGCAGTATAACAAGGTTTTACTGTAGTATATAGATGATAATATGTGTTACAGTTTGTCAGAACAATGCTTACTCTTATACATGCTCATCAACCTCTTCAAAACCTCTGCTGTTAAAGCACATGTTGATATCAACTGGGGCTTTAAGCGAGAGAATCTTACAAACCTTTTTGCTTTCCTGTAAAAACTTTTCCATCTGTTGTTGGTGGTTCTTTTTGAGCGACTCTAATTGTTTGGACTGTTTCATTGTCTGTTTCTTTCTCTCATCAATAAATTTTTTCATGTTATTTTCATTCAGTTCACGTATTCTCCTGAAATACAGGCAAAAGAACAATAACAGAGGAATATTTTCTTACCAGAATACACACTGTACACATGCAAGTATCAATTCAATAGTTTTAGACCTGGTTATAATAAATTTGTCAAACATTAACAATTGTTTAAAAAGAAATTCACTGGAATCAATTAACAGCTCCGTTAGATGTTACTTAACCACTCTAAGCAAGTTAAAAAATATTTCATTTATCTATATCTCATAACAATGGTGCATGATAAAAAATTCTCACCTTTCCCTTTCGGCCTTATTTTTGATGGACTTGTCATTCTGTACGACCTTACTTGATTCCATGGACTGTTTTACTTGGTTGGCATTCAAATCTTTTACCTCCCTGTTAAAGAATGTAATAAATTTGTGATGAACACTAAGCTCTCTTCACAAATCCAATGCTGACAGTAGGAGTATCAACCTATTTTATAAAGAAGTAAGCAGACCTATTCTAAAGTCATAATACAGATTCTTTTTTCCAACACATATAATTACTGGAACCACAATTTCTTCACAATGTTGGGACTTGTTTACAGTTGGGTTTAACCCCCATTACTGATACTGCCCCATAACATTACATTACTGCCACCACTTACCTGCTCTGCCTGTAAATCCTGCTTTGCTCACCTGTTCTGGCTCGTAAAACCTGCTTTGCTCACCTGCTCTGCCGTGAAATGAGCTCCTTGAGTTGGTCTTGGTGGGCTTCCTCTAACAGCTTTTTTAAACAGTCATTCTGTTGGTTAATGTGCTCCTTACGCAGCTCGTGTTCCTCAGACTTCTGTCTCATGACCATGTCTGACCACTCCTTAGTCTGGTCAGTCACCAACTCTGTTATCTGTTAAGGTAAGTGTGTGGTCAATCATCACCTCTGTAAAATTATCTATATATTTGCTTTTTATTTCAATGGGTGGCCTTTCTGTATGTCAGTCAATTGACAAGAATGCACTTATGTATTGAACTGCTTTCAGATGGCAATATAAATGCCAAATGGACAAAGACAAATTCATTAAGTGCACTTGCACAAGAACTTCATTGAAGTTGCCTTTGTCAAGTTGGCATTCAAATTGCCTAAGAATGCCAACTGAAATCAGTTCATAATTTATGTTCACCATTATTGAGATGTATTAATCTGAAGGAAAATTGAATTATCAAAATGAAGCATTTAGCTCAAATATCGTAAAAACGACCAATACAGCAATCAAGTAGAGAACAAGGAAAAGATACAAGAGGCCCCATGGGCATGTATCGCTCACCTATTATTCACTTTCAAAGAGGGACTAGGTCAAATCTAATAATAAGATTGGCTAAAGTAGCTGTTACTTTACACATTATGGGCAGGTGAGTTAAACATCGGATCAAAGTAAGGGGAGTTATCAGAAACAGACACAATGAGAGAGTGAAATTCTTACCTTGGATGTGTTTTTCAACTCTGGAAATGAGTTATCACTGTAAAACAACAAAGAAGTTATCAAAGTCTGTCAAAAATATTCAATATACCCAATTAGTCTTACCTTTCTAAAACAGGTATTTCAAGCCACGATACAAATTCATTCAATAGGTTAAATTTCTAATTATTTTTTCAATCACTTTGACTTAGATATTCACATGAAAACTGACTGTTGAATATATATATAGATCCCCCCTAATTATGATAGGTTTTGTCTAAGACAACGCTTACCCATTTAATTTTTGTCTGATTCCTGTCTAAGACAATGCTTACCCATTTTTCTTTTTGTCTGATCCTTGTCTAAGACATTGCTTACCCATTTTTCTTTTTGTATGATCCCTGTCTAAGACATTGCTTACCCATTTTTCTTTTTGTCTGATCCTTGTCTGAGACATTGTTAACCCATTTTTCTTTTTGTATGATCCCTGTCTAAGACATTGCTAACCCATTTCACTTTTTGTCTGATCCTTGTCTAAGACATTGCTTACCCATTTCACTTTATGTCTGATCTCTGTCGAAGACAATGCTTACCCATTTTATTTTTGTCTGATTCCTGTCTAAGACAATGATTACCCATCTTTCTTTTTGTCTAATTCCTGTCTAAGACATTGCTTACCCATTTTTCCTTTTGTCTGATCCTTGTCTAAGACATTGCTTACCCATTTTTCTTTTTGTCTGATCCCTGTCTAAGACATTGCTAACCCATTTCACTTTTTGTCCGATCCTTGTATAAGACATTGCTTACCCATTTTTCTTTTTGTATGATTCCTGTCTAAGACATTGCTTACCCATTTTTCTTTTTGTATGATCCCTGTCTAAGACAATGCTTACCCATTTTATTTTTGTCTGATTCCTGTCAAAGACAATGCTTACCCATCTTTCTTTTTGTCTAATCCCTGTCTAAGACATTGCTTACCCATTTTTTTATTTTTGTCTAATCCTTGTCTAAGACATTGCTTACCCATCTTTCTTTTTGTCTGATCCCTGTCTAAGATATTGCTTCCCCATTTTTCTTTTTGTATGATTCCTGTCTTAAGACAATGCTTACCCATTTTTTTTTTTGTATGATTCCTTTCTTAAGACAATGCTTACCCATTTTTTTTTTTGTATGATTCCTGTCTTAAGACAATGCTTACCCATTTTTCTTTTTGTATGATTCCTGTCTTAAGACAATGCTTACCCATTTTTCTTTTTGTCTGATCCCTGTCTAAGATATTGCTTCCCCATTTTTCTTTTTGTATGATTCCTGTCTAAGACATTGCTAACCCATTTTTCGTTTTGTATGATCCCTGTCTAAGACATTGCTTACCCTTTTTTCTTTTTGTATGATTCCTGTCTTAAGACAATGCTTACCCATTTTTCTTTTTGTATGATGCCTGTCTAAGACATTGCTTACCCTTTTTTCTTTTTGTATGATTCCTGTCTTAAGACAATGCTTACCCATTTTTTTTTTTGTATGATTCCTGTCTTAAGACAATGCTTACCCATTTTTCTTCTTGTCTGATCCCTGTCGCTCCTTGTTATGAGTGGCCACCATTTTGTCGACAACCAAACAGTGTTGACGATTCATTGTCGACCGTTCTTTCTGTTGTTTTTTCTTCAACGCCTCCATCTCCCGTGGCTGTTTCTTGAGAATTTTCTGGAATGCCTTGGCTTGTTTCAGCAGGTCTCTGGTGATGACTGGGAAACTCATATCATCTGTAAGGGTTCACATAGGGCAAGTCATAAAAGATAACACTCTTGAATCTTGATCCAGAAAGATTGCAGCATAATTTCTTTACTTTTAATAATCTGGGCAAGTCATATACAGACTGTCATCTGTAAGGGTTCACATAGGGCAAGTCATATACAGACTCATCTGTAAGGGTTCACATAGGGCAAGTCATATACAGACTGTCATCTGTAAGGGTTCACATAGGGCAAGTCATATACAGACTGTCATCTGTAAGGGTTCACATAGGGCAAGTCATATACAGACTGTCATCTGTAAGGGTTCACATAGGGCAAGTCATATACAGACTGTCATCTGTAAGGGTTCACATAGGGCAAGTCATATACAGACTGTCATCTGTAAGGGTTCACATAGGGCAAGTCATATACAGACTGTCATCTGTAAGGGTTCACATAGGGCAAGTCATATACAGACTGTCATCTGTAAGGGTTCACATAGGGCAAGTCATATACAGACTGTCATCTGTAAGGGTTCACATAGGGCAAGTCATATACAGACTGTCATCTGTAAGGGTTCACATAGGGCAAGTCATATACAGACTGTCATCTGTAAGGGTTCACATAGGGCAAGTCATATACAGACTGTCATCTGTAAGGGTTCACATAGGGCAAGTCATATACAGACTGTCATCTGTAAGGGTTCACATAGGGCAAGTCATATACAGACTGTCATCTGTAAGGGTTCACATAGGGCAAGTCATATACAGACTGTCATCTGTAAGGGTTCACATAGGGCAAGTCATATACAGACTGTCATCTGTAAGGGTTCACATAGGGCAAGTCATATACAGACTGTCATCTGTAAGGGTTCACATAGGGCAAGTCATATACAGACTGTCATCTGTAAGGGTTCACATAGGGCAAGTCATATACAGACTGTCATCTGTAAGGGTTCACATAGGGCAAGTCATATACAGACTGTCATCTGTAAGGGTTCACATAGGGCAAGTCATATACAGACTGTCATCTGTAAGGGTTCACATAGGGCAAGTCATATACAGACTGTCATCTGTAAGGGTTCACATAGGGCAAGTCATATACAGACTGTCATCTGTAAGGGTTCACATAGGGCAAGTCATATACAGACTGTCATCTGTAAGGGTTCACATAGGGCAAGTCATATACAGACTGTCATCTGTAAGGGTTCACATAGGGCAAGTCATATACAGACTGTCATCTGTAAGGGTTCACATAGGGCAAGTCATATACAGACTGTCATCTGTAAGGGTTCACATAGGGCAAGTCATATACAGACTGTCATCTGTAAGGGTTCACATAGGGCAAGTCATATACAGACTGTCATCTGTAAGGGTTCACATAGGGCAAGTCATATACAGACTGTCATCTGTAAGGGTTCACATAGGGCAAGTCATATACAGACTGTCATCTGTAAGGGTTCACATAGGGCAAGTCATATACAGACTGTCATCTGTAAGGGTTCACATAGGGCAAGTCATATACAGACTGTCATCTGTAAGGGTTCACATAGGGCAAGTCATATACAGACTGTCATCTGTAAGGGTTCACATAGGGCAAGTCATATACAGACTGTCATCTGTAAGGGTTCACATAGGGCAAGTCATATACAGACTGTCATCTGTAAGGGTTCACATAGGGCAAGTCATATACAGACTGTCATCTGTAAGGGTTCACATAGGGCAAGTCATATACAGACTGTCATCTGTAAGGGTTCACATAGGGCAAGTCATATACAGACTGTCATCTGTAAGGGTTCACATAGGGCAAGTCATATACAGACTGTCATCTGTAAGGGTTCACATAGGGCAAGTCATATACAGACTGTCATCTGTAAGGGTTCACATAGGGCAAGTCATATACAGACTGTCATCTGTAAGGGTTCACATAGGGCAAGTCATATACAGACTGTCATCTGTAAGGGTTCACATAGGGCAAGTCATATACAGACTGTCATCTGTAAGGGTTCACATAGGGCAAGTCATATACAGACTGTCATCTGTAAGGGTTCACATAGGGCAAGTCATATACAGACTGTCATCTGTAAGGGTTCACATAGGGCAAGTCATATACAGACTGTCATCTGTAAGGGTTCACATAGGGCAAGTCATATACAGACTGTCATCTGTAAGGGTTCACATAGGGCAAGTCATATACAGACTGTCATCTGTAAGGGTTCACATAGGGCAAGTCATATACAGACTGTCATCTGTAAGGGTTCACATAGGGCAAGTCATATACAGACTGTCATCTGTAAGGGTTCACATAGGGCAAGTCATATACAGACTGTCATCTGTAAGGGTTCACATAGGGCAAGTCATATACAGACTGTCATCTGTAAGGGTTCACATAGGGCAAGTCATATACAGACTGTCATCTGTAAGGGTTCACATAGGGCAAGTCATATACAGACTGTCATCTGTAAGGGTTCACATAGGGCAAGTCATATACAGACTGTCATCTGTAAGGGTTCACATAGGGCAAGTCATATACAGACTGTCATCTGTAAGGGTTCACATAGGGCAAGTCATATACAGACTGTCATCTGTAAGGGTTCACATAGGGCAAGTCATATACAGACTGTCATCTGTAAGGGTTCACATAGGGCAAGTCATATACAGACTGTCATCTGTAAGGGTTCACATAGGGCAAGTCATATACAGACTGTCATCTGTAAGGGTTCACATAGGGCAAGTCATATACAGACTGTCATCTGTAAGGGTTCACATAGGGCAAGTCATATACAGACTGTCATCTGTAAGGGTTCACATAGGGCAAGTCATATACAGACTGTCATCTGTAAGGGTTCACATAGGGCAAGTCATATACAGACTGTCATCTGTAAGGGTTCACATAGGGCAAGTCATATACAGACTGTCATCTGTAAGGGTTCACATAGGGCAAGTCATATACAGACTGTCATCTGTAAGGGTTCACATAGGGCAAGTCATATACAGACTGTCATCTGTAAGGGTTCACATAGGGCAAGTCATCTAAAGACTGATTCAAAAAGATAACACACTGGAATCTTGATCCAGAAAGATTGCAGCATAATTTCTTTACTTTTAATAATCTGTTGGGAATCGAACAAATATTACTTATTAATGAAAAATGTGACTATAATAACTAATAACGTCATAACTTTCCTTCCTAAAATCCCAAAATGTGAGCTCCATATGTTAACCTCTGACCTTCTGATATGAACATCATCATGACCTTTCAAGCATTATGTGTATGAATAATGAGCAATGAATAGCGCACACACTCAGTTATGATCACGATGGATACCATATAATGGGGGTTTTAAGCAGGCTTACATTTTCGTGATTTTGACCCAAAATTTGAATATTAAATTTACACAGATTACAATTTCCCGATCTAGGCATGTGAAGGAACCAGATGTTCTCAGTGTTTTAGCACAGAAACAGGGCATTTGGCATATCAAATCATATTCTTGCCATCACGTTATTAACCAGCAGAAATTGTGAAAAAAGTGGAACGTATCTCACAGAGGAATAAAACTCACAAAAGAATTAATTACAATCGGATATACCTTACAGGGGGATATAACTCACAATGTAATAAAACTTGTTGTGGTATATTAATCAAATGATCTATTCAGTCTGTAAATAAATCAACCTTTTTTGTCCTCTTTTTTCTGTGAGGCATTAGGCGTGCCGGCAGGTTTGTCAGCGTAGCTGGAGTTAGACACCTGCCCGTTACTGCCTGTCAGTCCCGACCCACTGAGCTGGCGATTGGCTGGACCAAGACACGGTACAGGACTGTCAATGATGTCAGACGTGTCTATACCCATCTCCTTCAGCTGTTTCTCAGGATTAGACAGCAGCTTCACAAAATCTAAAATCAACACGTCAAGATTTAATATCAATTGAAATTACAATATTTTCACTTTATAAGATTTCCTTTTCAACTTACAATATATGTTACGTAACACACATCGGTAGTGGTCTAAAACAATTGTAAATATTTGTTAAGAGGGTTAACATTGCAGAAGGAAAAAAACTTCAGGTTGTGGAGATCACATTAAATTGCCTCCCCACTAGTTATTAGTTGTTACAGGCACGAAAGATAAAACACTGTTTCCACATGTCTAACCTAAAATCTTACCTGGGATGTAAGTTATTCCATGACTTACCTTAAAACCTGTGTGGTATGTAAAGTTATTACATGACTTACCTAAATGCTTGTCTGGGATGTAAGTTTTCAGGATAATTCTACAGAAGACTGTGGGTAGAGACAAGGGGAAGTTTCCCTCTGAACGTAGGGAAATATATCTGTAACCTGAAGATATAAAGTCAATATCTTTTATTTTTTTCATACATTTCAGTAATTTACAATTACATTAGCAAATCAATAGGTAGTAGTTTATAAATGATGAACAATAACATTTCAATTAAAAACATAATTTTAATATAGTGAGCATCACCTGTACTTGACCATGGTGTGTTGTCGGACATTCCTCACACACTGTCAGTATAAAACAAAGCCTTTGTCAAAGTGAAGCAGACAATAGGGTGTCCTTACCTGCTTGCAGCCCATCTAGGGGCAGGATTCTTTGGCCAATCAGCTTGTTAGTATCTTCATAAACAGCAATTCTAAGCACAGCTAAATCGGGAAGCACTACCTATTATGCGGCAAGTAAACAACAACTTTTAGTAACATGTTAAATTTTAAATTATTTCACCTGAATAACATGTTTCTCATTAAAGATCCAACTGTACAAGAATTCCTTCAAATTATCAGAAACTTCTAGTTGCTAGGCCAACAGATAAGGATCCTCACAGCCTTTGATGCCTGAAATAAGATACCTGGTATACTGAATTAAGTTAAAACTACACTCACTGACTGATATTGCATTATTCAAATTCTTCATACTAGTCATGAAATTTTTAAAAGTTTGTGCCGTTCTAGTTACGAAAATTAGTGGTTGTGTGGTTAAAATTATAGTTTTCATAACAGTATTTGCATATGGATACTTTTCAAGAGTTGTAAAGCCGAAATTTAACATTTAAAGATTTAAACATATATTGACCACGGTGACCTTGAATATGGGCGAAGGTTATTCATTTGAACAAACTTGGTAACCCTTCATCCCAGCATGTTAATGGCCAAATGTCATCACCCTAGGCCTCTTGGTTATTCATTCGAAGTTGTTTAAATGTTTTAAACATATTTGACCCCAGTGACCTTGAATATGATTCAAGGTCATTCATTTGAACATACTTGGTAGCCCTTCATTCCAGCATGTTACTGGCCAAATATCATTATCCTAGGCCTCTTGGTTATTCATCAGAAGTTGTTGAAAGATTTTATACATATTTGACCCCTGTGACCTTGAAAATGGATGAAGGTAGTTTATTTGAACAAACTTGGTAACCCTTCATCCAAGCATGTTAATGTCCAAATGTCATCACCCTAGGCCTCTTGGTTATTCAGAAGGAGTTGTTTAAATGATTACAACACATTTGACCCCAGTGACCTTGAATATGATTCAAGGTCATTCATTCGAACAAGTTTGCTAGCCCTTCATTCCAGCATGTTATTGGTCAAATATCATTATCCTAGGCCTCTTGGTTATTCAGAAGAAGTTGTTTAATGGTTTCATACATCTTTGACCGTTGTGACCTTGAATATATATCAAGGTCATTTATTTAAACAAACTTGGTAGCCCTTCATTCCAGCATGTTACTGGCCAAATATCATTATCCTAGGTATCTTGGTTACTCAGAAGAAGTTGTTTAAAGGTTTTATACATATTTAACCCCTGTGACCTTGAATATGATTCAAGGTCATTCATTTGAACAAACTTGGTAACCCCTCATTCCAGCACGTTACTGACCAAATACCATTATCCTAGGCCTCTTGGTTATTCATCAGAGGTTGTTTACAGGTTTTATACATATTTGACCCCATGTGACCTTGAAAATGGATGAAGGTAATTAATTTGAACACACTTGGTAACCATTCATCCAAGCATGTTCATGGCCAAATGTCATCACCCTATGCCTCTTGGTTATTCAGAAGGAGTTGTTTAAATGATTACAACATATTTGACCTCAGTGACCTTGAATATGATTCAAGGTCATTCATTTCAGCATGTTACTGGTCAAATATCATTATCCTAGGCCTCTTGGTTATTCAGAAGAAGTTGTTTAAAGGTTTCATACATATTTGACCCCTGTGACCTTGAATATAAATCAAGGTCATTTATTTAAACAAACTTGGTAGACTTTCATCCCAGCATTGTTACTGGCCAACTATCATTATCCTAGGTCTCTTGGTTATTCAGAAGAAGTTGTTTAAAGGTTTGAAACATATTTGACCCCTGTGACCTTGAAAAATGATGAAGGTCATTATTTGAACAAACTTGGTAGCCCTTTATCCCAGCATGTTACTGGCCAAATATCATTACACTAGGCCTCTTGGTTATTCAGAAGAAGTTGTTTAAAGGTTTAAAACATATTTGACCCCTGTGACCTTGAATATAAGTCAAGGTCATTTATTTGAAAAAACTTGGTAGCATTTCACCCCAGCATGTTACTGGCTAAATATCATCACCCTAGGCCTCTCGGTTATTCAGAAGTTGCTTAAATATTTTAACATATTTGACCCCTGTGACCTTGAAAATTGATGAAGGTCATTTATTTGAGTCAACTTGGTAGCCCTTTATTCCAGCATGCTTCTGGCCAAATATCATCACCCTAGGCCTTTTGGTTACTGAGAAGAAGTTGTTTAAAGTAAAAAGTTGACGCCAGACGCCGCACCATGCCATAAGCTCACTTTATTTTAATTCAGATCTTGTTCAGTATTTTTTTTAAATTTTTTATTTGCCCAGATCCTTAAACAAAATAATCATTTATCATAAATTCATTGGTAAGTTTGTAGGGAAGAAGTCTGACCTTTCTGAAGACAAATTCTTCTGCGTTATATACAGGATTGAGGCCATTGGACGCCACTACTTTGGTACGGAATTCCTTTCGGATGGTGTCAGTCGGTAGACCGTACATGTCTACCTCAACAAATGTTCCTATCTTCTTGTCAGACAAAAACTGTCCCGATATCACCTAGAGAGGGAAGTAATCGTCGTTAGTATTTCTCATACCTAGGCCAAAATAACAATCAGTCACTAATGGAAACTGGTCATGGGAAATAAACATCATTTTACAAATTGAATAAAGAAATAATTTTGTCATTGATTTTTATTCATATGAATGATAAATAAAGGATTTCCTTTGTTTCTTTACAAATTACTGTTATATTTCACAAGAATGCCATACCTGTATGAAGCTGTGTGTTATCTATATAAATATCATACCTGTATGAAGCTGTGTTATCTATATAAATACCATACCTGTATGAAGCTGTGTGTTATCTATATGAATACCATACCTGTATGAAGCTGTATGTGTTATATATATATAATTATATATGAATACCTTACCTGTATGAAGTTACAGTCTGTTATATATATATATATATATATATGAATACTTTACCTGTATAAAGCTGTGTGTGTTATATATGAATATCATACCTGTATGAAGCTATATGCTATCTATATGAATACCATACCTGTATGAAGCTGTATGTGCTCTATATATGAATACCTTAGCTGTATGAAGTTGTGTGCTATATATATATATGAATACCTTACCTGTATGAAGTTGTGTGCTATATATATATATATATATATGAATACTTTACCTGTATAAAGCTGTGTGTGTTATATATGAATATCATACCTGTATGAAGCTGTTTGTTATGTATATTGATACCATACCTGTACGAAGCTTTGTGTGTTATATATATATGAATACCATACCTGTATGAAGCTGTGTTATATATATATAGATACCCTACCTGTATGAAGCTCTGTGTGTGTTATATATATATATGAATACCTTACCTGTACAGAGCAATGTGCTGCAATAACTCCATCTACAGGACTCTCTGAGAATGGTTCAAATGTTCTGTCTGGCCGTCGCATAAAATCTGGTTTTAATAAATACCTGAAATCCAGCAAAATTTTGTCAAAGACATCTATCAAACAATCTAAACATGGATTTCAACATTATTATTAAAATGTTTCTTGTTTCAAAAGATATTCATATAAAATATGTGTACTTTATGTCAAAGTTCCCTTACTAACTTTGGCTGGAGGGATTTTCTTGAGCTTATTGGCAACAGTGTCTGAATGAGAGCCTAGCTGGTTTGATCCAAAGTTAAGGCATACATTATTATTATTGTCACTAGTTCCACCCTATTAGTTTGGTGCTGTTGGCCCTCCACAATGAAGTTGAGAATCCTTGGCTGGAGGTTAATGAGCTGGAGTTGTGGTAGTTTTCTTGTCACGTTGGTTATACATACCTATAGATATAACCTACTTATCAAATGTGTGATGATACATACCCACAGTTACCGTTGTACTCAAATTTGCCCTGGTTGAGCTGCATTGCTATATCTGGAGTCTGGAAGTTCAGGGCAACCATTTGACATCCAGCATTCCAGAACAACTGTAGAGGTCAAGTGATAAAGTCATAGATGGTTTACAAGGTTGTACAGTTAAGTTGAATCAGGCATTACAGAGAAATTTTACCATCTACAGGTAAGTTAAATAAGACGTTCATCTAACAGATACATATGTTCCAGGCCATCTCCCTTTTGCTATTTTCCATTTTTCTATGATTTCAAATGGTATGTTTACACAATACTTCCAGTTCACTGTGAAATGTCCCTGGAATTTAGGAGTCACCAGCACAAAACTGACAAAATCCATAACATTAATGTATTACTATTACATTAAATGTATTACCCTTTCATTCCGTTATATTACATGTATTACTATTACATTACATGTATTACTATTACATTACATGTATTACCGTTTCATACCGTTATATTACATGTATTACTATTACATTACATGTATTACTATTACATTACATGTATTACTATTACATTACATGTATTACTATTCCTTTTCATGTATTACCGTTACATTCCGTCATATTACATGTATTACTATTACATTACATGTATTACTATTACATTCCGTTATATTACATGTATTACTATTACATTACATGTGTTAATATTCCTTTTCATGTATTACCGTTACATTCCGTCATATTACATGTATTACTATTACATTACATGTATTACTATTACATTATATGTATTACCATTCTATTACATGTATTATCATTCTATTACATGTATTACCGTTATATTACATGTATTACCATTCTATTACATATATTACCATTCTATCACATGTATTACCATAACATTAATGAATTACTATTACATTACATGTATTACTGTTACTACATTCCGTCATATTACATGTATTACTATGTATTACCTGTGGCATGTAATTGCCCGAGTCTACCCGGCTGCCTCGGGGATAAATCCGACTCATCTGGCGTTTGTTGTAGCTGTTTCTTTGTCAAGGTCCTACTTACATTAAAACTTCTCTGTCATGTTAATTAGAATTTAAATACTTTCTCGGCTATATTCTAGGTAGACAATTTTGTACATCGACAATATAGGACTTAATTTTCTTAATGAGAACCCATTCTGTAATTAGAATGTGGTACGTTAGAGCTGAAGTATTCTGCATTGACAGGTAGGTTAGACATATAAAAATAAGGTGACAGGTAGGTTAGACATAAACAAATAAGGTGACACGAAGAAGAAATACCTCAAAACTATATCTATTGTAATGACAAACATCTAAGCTTATCTTTCATCCAAACACCAAAATAGGAAAGGAAATCATGCAATGCTATAACGTTAACCATGATGGAAGGGTACAAAGTATGCTGGTTCAATATACTAGAGCCATGCATTAGTGACTTTCACCTGGACAAAGTCCAAAGTACATTAATCATGTTTCCAATATCAGACCTACATCGTTTTTTTAAATACAGTCCAAATTGTACATGGAAATGTACATTGAATTCTGATTTTTATTTAATTTATCTTTTTGAGGGTGGAGGAGTTTTTTAAATTTATTGTTTCAAGAAACAACAGACAAAATATGGAAGTACAATAATAAAGGGAGATAACAATGATAAGATTTGGATTGAAAGGGAGATAAGAATGCTAGTTTTGTGTAGTAAGGGAGATAACAATGCTAAGTTTTGGATTTAAAGGGAGATAACAATGCTAAGTTTTGTGTAAGTAGTTATAATGGGCTAATACTAAAGTAGAAGGATACTCAATGATCCCAGAACAAGTTCCCGAGTGAATGGCATGCCTCAGTATAGCATTGGCAGCAGTCTCATTGAAGGAGGACATGTGGAAGTGATTATTTACAGCTGTATCACACAAAACAAAGCATGCCAACAAATCGTGTCTATTATCAAACAATACTGCTGTATCATACAAAACAAAGCATGCAAACAAACCTACAATCGTGTCTATAATCAAACAAGGTATACTACTGTTAAATGTTATCACTTGCTATACCTACACCAGTAGTTTTTTACTTGAAACAGGGTTTGCAATTTGATCATGAAAACATTTACATTTTTCATCTTTATTTTCAATATTTTGTTACAAATTGGGTCACTCTGCCATACAAGGACTACACAGTACATGGAAATCACAACATTGATACAATAATGAAATGACTTGCTTATGGAGAAGAAAGCAGCATTACTGAGCATGTCTTCAAAACATTTCAGCAAACAAGGAATGCAGTTCCAACAGAAAATGCCTGAACAAGACAAATAAGTAACAAGAGTCCTAATTGGCCTGTATCACTCACATGGTACGCAATGCTGTGACATTTATAGTCGTGTTACAATAATATTCAAGAGAACAACTTTAAAAGCCGTTTACTATAGCATGCAACAAGCTAAACATCATGAACTTAGACCTCTTGATTATTAACAGGACATGGTTTAAAGGGTTTTACATGTCTGATCCTTGTTACCTTGAAAATAGGTCAAAGTCTATCATTTGAACAAACTTCATTGCCATTCATCATAGAAAGCTACTGACCATCAAGTCATTTGCTGATTGACAAGATATTGTTGTAAAGTTTTTACAAATTTAACCCTGTGAATTTAAAAGTAGGCCAAGGTCATTCATTTGAACTCTCTTGGTAGTCCAGTATCCCAGCAAGCTACTGGCCAAATATCATTACCCTTTGCCTTTTGGTTATTCAGAATAAGTTATTTAAACTTTTATTAAAAATTGGAACCATGTGACCTTGAAAATGTCAGTCATTTATTAGAACAAACTTCATCATCATTCATCCCAGCAATGTTCTGGCCAATTATCATCTCCCTATTCCATTTGGTTATATAGAAGATGTTGTTATAACAAATTAGACCCCTGTAACCCTGAAAGTGGGTCAAGGTAATTTGTTTGAAAAAAAAATTGCTAGCCCTCTATCTCTCCATTTAACTGGGCCAAATATCATCACCCTGCTGGTCCTACTTTGGAGGGAGTCAAATTGAATTAACATAAAAAGTTGAAGCCAGAGAGAAGGACACCAGACAGCACATCGCAGCGTAAGCTCATTCCGCCCTTCGGGACAGGTAAAACCCATATTATATTCAAGCACAATCATGCATGACAGAATGAAATAAAAGCAGTGAAGGCTCATATAGATTCACCCCACCCTCACCGCGCTTTGCCTGTGATCTTTGACCCTTAAACCGTGACGGATGAGCACCAAAATGTAATCAGGTGTATAACTCAATGTTACCATACTATGGTGCAAAGATGAATTTAAATTTTATTGAGGGGTTTGTGAGATATCTCGTACACAAGCTTTTTACTTCAAAAGTGGTAAAGTGTGATCTTTGACCCATTACCTTGACTGATGACCACCAAAATCCAATCAGAAGTAGAACTCAATATTACTATACAACAGTGTAGATTTCAACTAACTGTGTACAGGGGTTCATATGATATCTTATACAGAAGCTTTTTGACTATGGACGTACACACAGACAGACAGGTGCACTGACTAAGCCATCACCATGTACCCTGTTCATTCAGTTAGGGGTATGATTAACAACCTTTGGGTCAATCTCTTCCAGAATAAATTTGGTACTCTTTATTCATCTCTGTAACGTCTGGCACCCTTCAAAATGTCGGGAGTAATTACTTGCAACACATTATGTAATGGAGTTGTGAATTCACTATTTTCATTTTCTTACATTGAATACAACTATGTTTGATTTTTTCACTTTCACCTGAATATGATACTGTTCATTAAATCGTTAGCAGATAATTTTTGCTGTGATATTTGTTAGCCAGCGGTATTCATCTGCTGTGTATTTTTCTTTATAATGTGATGTTGTGTTTACAAAATCTGATTTCACAAAGGCCGATAAGTTCAGATATATAGTGAAGTTTTTTGAGTTGAACAATAAAGGATTTCAGAAGTGATGAAGTACCCGGTCAAAACGTTATCTGTTGATTATGGGACAATGATTAATTCCTCGGACACTCCGAGTTGTGGGTATACATACTGGTGTTCTTGGTACGTGTACTCGGGAGATCTTTACACAGATTATCCGACATCAGTGTCTCAAAATGAAGACAAACTTTTTCAACAATATTGGCAGAGTTACTTTCAGCACTGCAAGGGTGCCGTCATTGTGTTACAATACAAACAAGGCAAAGTATTGCGAACAATCAAAATTTACAAAGTGTGACACTCCATCCTTCGAAAAAGTACTCAAATGCAAAATTTGTTAATTATATGTTACAGAGTATACCAACATCTGTCACTATGTGTACTGTCACGAATACCCCCGCCTCTACATCCATGTAAAGGTCTATGTATCAATACAAGTCCCTCGTAACTCAGACATCCAGCATTTATGGAAGCAATGTTTTATAAAGATTATCCAAACTTTTATCCTAACAAACAAAACTTGTAATAGCAGCAATAGAACTTCTAGATTTATTGTCATTAGGAAAAATAACAGTGATTTATGTTAGGTAGATAGGAAGGTCAGAGAAATACTTAAAGATCAGTGAGAAAGGAAAACCATCAAAACATACATCAAAATCAACAGAACAGTACTATGAAAATGTCTACTTAGAAAAAGTCACAAGACAACATCCACCAAAATAAAAAGGAAAATAATACAATCATGCAACAAACATGGAACAGACAACTAGGTGACAAGTGACATGGCGACGAAAGGCCACCATAACAACAGTAACCAGACAACATTCCGTGACAACACATGCAAAAATAGTCCCAGTCATTAACATGAAGGATACTTGACTAACTCAACAGCGTGAGATTTCAGGTAGCCCAGGCCGGTACTCTCATTGAAGGACGACATGTGATAGTGAATATTTCTTTCTGAAATACAAGGTAGCCATTTTTATTCATTGTCTACTGTATCAAACTGTAGCCAGAGACATCAACTGCCCACCGATCACAAACCAGCATCTACCCTTACCAAAAGGAATCGCCATTCAAAACACAGTTATTTCACAGCTCTATTATAAGATAAGAAAACTGCTATGGAGAATTCTATACCATTATTTGACAGTTACCATTCCAACAGCATTACTTTCACCCATATTTTCACAATCAAAATGCAATAGAAGTACTTAAAGATACTCTTGACACATGCTTTCCTGATGTTGTATTTTCATAAAGGTAAAACATTTTTAAGGAAACTAGAAAATGTCTGTAAGACATGAATGCCCCCTTTGTATAAAGTTTGATGAAAATCTGTGAAAGAATGAAGTTGCTGAGTGTTTGAATTGGGACGCAATGAACATGGGCAACACTATATGCCCCCCCATTTTATGGCGGGTCATAACAAGAGGCCCAATGGGCCTGCATCGCTCACCTGGTATTAATCTCACAATTGTAAACTTAAAAGTGGACTATAATAAAGCTTCAGGCAAAAAATCTGTGTCTTGACTTCAAGTCATTCAGAAGAACCTGTTAAACGACTAAAACAAATTTGATGCCTGTGACCTTAAAAAGTCAAACATGGACAGTAAGTTGGACAAACTTCATAGCCCTTCTTCCCAAAATGCAACTTGCCAAATATCACCACCTTATACCTTTTGTTTATTGAGAAGATGACTATTAAAGATTTATGCACTATAGACCAGATGTGACCATGAAAGTGTGTCGTCATTCACATCTACAAGCAATCAACCTGTATGCTTTAGTTCTTCATCAGAAGTCGTTTAAATATTTCAACATATTTGACCCCTGTGACCTTGAATATTAGTGAAAGACATTTGTTTGAACAAACTTGGTAGCCCTTAATGCCAACATTCTTCTGGCCATATATCATCACCCTGGACCTTTTGGTTATACAGAAGAAGTTGTTGAAAGGTTTTTATGTCAATTGACCCCTGTGACCTTGAATATGGCCGAAGGTCATTCATTTGAACAAACTTGGTAGTCCTTTATCCAAGCATGCTATTGGCCAAATATCAACACCCTAGACCTCTTGGTTATTAAGAAGAAATTGTTTAAAAGGTTTAAACATATTTGACCCTGCTGTGACCTTGAATATGGACGAAGGTCATTCATTTGATCAAACTTTGTAGTGCTTCATCTTAGCATAATATTGGCCAAATATCATCATCCTGGGCCTTCGTAGACCAGACTGGCGAGAAACATCTGAGAAGATATTTTTCCACACTTGTAGACTTTGATGGGCAATGGATAAACGACAGAGAGGTATAAAATTACCAAAAGAATTGAAGGGAAGTCACTCTACACAATGTCAAAAATTATTTGAAAGAGGAAAAATCCTTACTCAAATTCATTTTTATATATTTTATTGCAAAAGTATATCAGGTCTCATACTACTCTGTAACATGAAGTACAGTTTCAATTTTGATGGCCAACCCTAAAGCAGTATTGTTATGATGAGGAGAGAAGAGGTACAGAGGATGTGTAGTAGAACACAAGGCTGCAGCTCTAGATCAAACTAGCCATACCTTCAGCTACATCAAAGCCGTTGAACTTGATTGGCTGGGCATAGTTGACCATTGCTGACAGATAGGGATGGATGTTGGTGGTGGCGCCACTGTAGTGGTACGCTGACATTAATGCTGCCTCCTCGTCTGCTGTAAGACTCCCCTGTCACACAGAAAGAAAGAGAGATATATATATAAATGTATTTTCTACTAGAAAATTTGTCAACTTCACAATGATGCAGCATGTTTGGTCTGCACCTAGAAAAAGCTGGAAGATAACAGAATCTGTAAACAGGAATCCATTCCTTTGCTCAGACTCAGATGGTGTGCTCCGTCTCAAATCCTAGAGCGGAATTCATATTTTTTAAAGATTTAAATCATTCCATTTTCCCCCCTGTACTTTGCAGAGACTGGTAGCTAGAATCATTCAAATGTATTAAGTGTTTGATATTTTAACAATTCATTAGAGGTACTATCTCTTTAAAATATGACCTTAATTTCTTATAAAAATGTTTGTATGTAAACACTTTATATGATTAACAAAAGTTGACTGAGGGGAATAAATATAAAAACTGCCAAATTTAATCACCTCTCCTTCTACCACCTTTTTGTCGTTGAACTTAAAGCTATCACTACTGGTAGACATCTTGTTATTGGTCACTTCCTCTGCCAGCTCCAGAGTTGGTTCACTCACAACTGGCTTTGTCTTTGGCATCTTAAACTCGGGGTGAGCGTCAGTGTCCAGGTTGATGACACTGGGGTCCAAGTCTATCAAAACAAGGACAGGCGAAAACCCACCGAAACATCAAGTTTACCGTTCAAGCACAGCAATCTACAAGTTATCTTTAGCACGACATCTACATTAATTGTTTTCAGCCATGTCCTTAACAAGCCAGATCTGGGTAAATTATCAAGATTTCCTTGTTTATTTATGCAGTGTTTTAGGTTACAGAACTGGATGAATTAATAATAACTGAGATTGGACTACATGATATATCATTTAGAAAGCATACAACAAGTTATATATGCAGCCATTATAGAGATGAGGTTGTAAAATACATCCTCCATTTTGTATCCAAAGTCAACAGCGCAGTGCCAAACACGTACAGCCGGTTAAAAAAGATAGCTTTTTCTATTTGAGAAATGCACGCACTTATAAACTGTAAGATTCAGATACCAATAATATTACAACAAACTGGCTATAATTAACATATTACAATGTATATAAACATGCAAAACTAAAACTAATATTCAATTATACAAGCTTGTATATATTCCACCTACCAACCAACAACATATCATGCAAAATTTCTACATTTCTAGTGATTACAGAAAGCAGACTGATTTTAGGATGTTAGAATACAAAGTGTGAATCTTTAAACTACATATGTTTCAGCAGATTTATGTTTCCTTGTTAGATCATGAGGAAAGCAGTAACAGAGATCCACAGGAAGTTCCCTCCCATGCAATAAAAGATGTAGATCTGTGGCAACTGAGCTTTCACCATGTTACATTCACATAAAAAAATAAATGTATCATTCCCACAAAATACACAAAAAAATAGTCAATTAGCAATGGAGGTACAACTACATGTATACAAGACTCAGCCAATCACAGAACTGAAGGAACAACTACATGTTTAAAAGACTCAGCCAATCACAGCACTGGAGGTACAATTACATGTTTAAAAGCCTCAGCCAATCACAGCACTGGAGGCACAACTACTGTATAAAAGTCTCAGCCAATCACATAGTCTATTAACACTGGAGGTACAACTACATGTATAAAAGCCTAAGCCAATCACATAGTCTATTAACACTGGAGGGACAACTATATGTATAAAAGCCTCAGCCAATCGCAGCACTGGAGGTACAACTACTGTATAAAAGTCTCAGCCAATCACATAGTCTATAAACACTGGAGGTACAACTATATGTATAAACACATCAGTCAATCACAGCACTGGAGGTACAACTATATGTATAAACACATCAGTCAATCACAGCACTGGAGGTACAACTATATGTATAAAAACATCAGTCAATCACAGCACTGGGGGTACAACTACTTGTATAAAAACATCAGCCAATCACAGCACTGGAGGTACAACTACTGTATAAAAGTCTCAGCCAATCACATAGTCTATTAACACTGGAGGGACAACTACATGTATAAAAGCCTCAGCCAATAACATAGTCTATTAACACTGGAGGTACAACTTTATGTATAAAAGCCTCAGCCAATCACAGAGTCTATTAACACTGGAGGTACAACTATATGTATAAACACATCAGTCAATCACAGCACTGGAGGTACAACTACATGTATAAAAGCCTCAGCCAATCACATAGTCTATTAACACTGGAGGTACAACTATATGTATAAAAGCCTCAGCCAATCACAGCACTGGAGGTACAACTACTGTATAAAAGTCTCAGCCAATCACATAGTCTATTAACACTGGAGGTACAACTACATGTATAAAAGCCTCAGCCAATCACATAGTCTATTAACACTGGAGGTACAACTTTATGTATAAAAGCCTCAGCCAATCACAGCACTGGAGGTACAACTACTGTATAAAAGTCTCAGACAATCACAGCACTGGAGGTACAACTACATGTATAACAAGAGGCCCAGAGGGCCTGTATCGCTCACCTGAATATGTTTAAATTAAGTGGTATGAAGTTAAGATATAGCACTCCACGGTAGGTGCTGTAAGTACATATGAAATTTCAGAAAGATCCATCCAGTACTTGAGATATAGCGAGAACAAACTTCAAACAGAGCACTACCCCTATGCCCCTAGGGAGGTTATACCCACCAATTATACAAAATTGAGTCCCCTTGACCAAAGGCTGCTCCAGACTAAATTAGGATAAAATCCCTTAATCCTGATGGTCGTAGAAGGATTTTAAAGGTTTTACCTCTATTTCTCCTATTGGGCCCCGCCCTTCTGTACCCTGGGAGACCACACCAACTGCTTATACAAAATTGGGTCCTCTTGGCCCATTAGAATATATAAAATTGGTTCCCCTTGACCCATGGGTGCTTCATACCAAATTTGGACAAAATCCTGTCATTCCTACAAAAGAAGAAGGATTTTGAAGAATTTGCTATGTTTCCCCTATACGGCCCCTCCCTTCTGCCCACAGGGGGGGGCCACACTCAATGTTTATACGAAATTGAGTCCCTTTTGCCCAATGATGCTCCAGACTAAATAAGGATAATATCCCTTAATACCTATGGTAGAAGAAGGATTATAAAGGTTTTACCTCTATTTCCCCTATTGGGCCCCACCCCTCAGATCCCAGGGGGGCCACACCCACCGTTTATACAAAACTGGTTCCCCTTTACCAAAGGATGCTCCACAACAAATATGGACCAAATCCTTTAATTCCTACAAAAGAAGAAGGATTTTAAAGAATAATTTGCTATGTTTCCCTATTGGGTCCCACCCCTCATTCCCATGGGGCGCCAGACCCTCGGTTTATATAAAATTGGTTCCCCTTCACCCAAGGATGCTTTAGACCAAATATGGATAAAATCCTTTCATCCCTATAAAAGAAGAAGGATTTTAAAGAATAATTTACTATGTTTCCCCTATTGGGCCCCGCCCCTCAGGCCCCTGGGGAGGCCAGACCAACGGTTTATACAAAATTGGTTCCCTTTCACCCAAGGATGCTTCAGACCAAATATGCAACAGATCTTTTTCTTCCTACAGAAGAAGAAGGATTTTAAACAATTTGCTATGTTTCCCCTATTGGGCCCCACCCCTAAGGCCCCTCAGGGGCCAGACCCGGGCCACCGTTTATACAAAATTGGTTCCCCTTCACCCAATAATGCTTTAGACCAAATATGGACCAAATCTTTTCATTCCTACAGAAGGAGAAGGATTTTAAACAATTTGCTATGTTTCCCCTATTGGGCCCCGCCCCTCAGGTCCCTAGGGGGCCAGACCCACCGTTTATACAAAATTTGTTCCCCTTCCCCCAAGGATGATTCTGACCAAATTTGGTCAAAATCTGCTCAGTCGTTCATGACTTCGGACCAGGTGAGCTAAAAACATCAGCCAATCACAGCACTGGAGTTACATCTACATGTATAAAAACATCAGCCAATCACAGTACTGGAGGTACAACTACATGTATAAAAACATCAGCCAATCACAGCACTGGAGATATAAACTACACGTATAAAAGCCTCAGCCAATCACATAGTCGATTAGCACTGGAGGTACAACTACATGTATAAAAGCCTCAGCCAATCACAGCACTGGAGGTACAACTACTTGAATAATAGCCTCAGCCAATCAAAGCACTGGAGGTATAAAATACACATGCCTCAGCCAATCACAATCAGAGGACATGGCAGCTATTGTCAAAACTGGAACTTTGATGTTAGCTGTTTAGATTGTGTACTACTATTAGTATGAACAAAAACACCTCTATAGAACTCATGTTACAGACAGATATATCTCTGTCCATTGTTAGATCAGAGCAGTCGTTATCAAAACAGGAGTTACAATAAACAAGAGGCCCATGGGTCTTAACGGTCACCTGAGTCTACAGTATTTTTTGTTGTTGTTGAAATATGTACCAATTTGAGTAAAAAATAGTATAATGTTAACTTAACTTTGTCAGGACCATGAGCTGATCATTCCTAGACCAATTTTAAGTGAGATCGGCCTATTAGAATTTAGTAGCAAAATAGCGGCCATGGCAGCCAAATTGTATTTCTGATTGACCCGAAAAATAACAACACTTTGTCAGGACCATGAGCTGATCATTCCTACAAAGTTTCAGTTCAATCGGCCTAGCAGAACTTGACTTTAAGTTTGAAATAGNTAAGTTTGAAATAGGTTTTCAAAATGGCGGCCGTGGCGGCCATATTGGATTTCTGATCGACCCGAAAAATAACAACACTTTGTCAGGACCATGAGGCGATCATTCCTACCAACTTTCAGTTCAATCGGTCCAGCAGAACTTGACTTTAAGTTTGAAATAGGTTTTCAAAATGGCGGCCGTGGCGGCCATATTGGATTTCTGATCGACCCGAAAAATAACAACACTTTGTCAGGACCATGAGGCGATCATTCCTACCAACTTTCAGTTCAATCGGCCCAGCAGAACTTGACTTTAAGTTTGAAATGTAAAATGTTAACGGACGACGGACGACGACGGACGAAAACGGATAGCAATAGGTCACTTGAGCTAAAGCTCAGGTGACCTAAAAAGTCCCTTACTCTGTTTTAGTGAATGAAATATTCTTTAAATATGTATTAAGGTAAACTGAATGCAGGAAATGTGTCTCTTATTGTTTATTTACCTACACCAAATTCTCCCCAATAAAAAAGTTAATGATGAAAATCTGTATTTATGTGACAATAAATGACTGCAGTACTGTAAAGGTACTTCACGTGGATTTAATTTTCATAGTTTTTCTACAACGGAGAGTGATAGATTTAATTACATCAGCCAGATTATAAAGTTAGCATACATAATAGGGATGAAACAATATGTATCTCAATATAGCTATAATGATACGACTAGTTTTTTAGTTACCATAGGTGTCAACCTCTGAAACCTTCGATGAGGGAGATCTCCCTCATTCCACATTTCCATTGAGGGAGAAAGTGCGTGAACATGACTGAAACCGCTTTGCTCAATTTATCTTTCCCTTTTTATGTATCAAAATTTACTCCAAAAAGCATTCATTTGATTCAGACACACCTGTTATAATCACTACACACACTCTGCAGTAACTAGGAGATCATTTGACAACAGGATGTAGATTTTGAGTTTGTGCAAGTTTAATCTTGAATGAGGGAGTTTTGAGGAAGATTGGTAAACTTTTGTCAAAATGAGGGAGTCTCCCTCCTAATGAGTGAAGGCCGACAGCTATGAGTTAGAGGAAAGAACCTCTACAAAACAGCACAGCACAGGTAGGAGGTAAAAGAATATTACGAATCATTTTTGTACCTAAATGGAGTTGTCTGGAAATCACTCTACAGACAATTTCTGGTGACCAACAGGTACTGTATACAATAAGTAAAGACAGTGATGATTTATATCACGTCTCAAAGACTTTATCAATTTTTAGCAAGGTAGTTATCAATACATGTATGTTTAATCTATAAATCGTTCGGTGTACAGAAATGTCAATATATTGTTTCATCCCTTATGCATAATGTGAAAATGAAATTCGAAAAAAAAGACAATAAAAGAACGTAGTTTTACCACCACACCAATAAATCCACGGAACTGAAACTTCCACTGAACAGAAATCGTACAACATTTGAAATCAGTGAAATTTTGGTACCTTTACAGAATGTCCATTTACCATTAAGTGGTCCCTCCTCGCCATCAACACTGGCGATCATCACACTTGGGTCCTCCCCTGGTTCGGCGTCCTCGTTTAACTGTTCCTGACCCTTCAAGAACAGCTCCAGGTTCTCTGTGGAAACAACGTTACACAGTGTGCTGTCATACAATCACAGCAGAATGCAGTTGATCTTAACCTAGTTTGTCTGCAATATTAATTACCAGGTATTCCAACCTTGGTCGTGTCCCTCAATACAAATCTTTGTTAACACTTTGTGACAGGTTATTCAAATGACCACTTATCCACATCCTTTATATATCTCCCATTGGGTTTGGAAATGTAAGGTCACGATTGGTCACCAAGACAACAAAAGCTGACAATGAAACTGTAACATGAGTTTGTCATAAACATTTATATCATGACATACAGAATCATGTCGCAAGTATTTGCGATTTGCTTAGATTTATTCTACATTTCACACATTTTCACGTTTTCCTGGGCTTCTTGTAGCAGTATTTTCATTAAAACAAAATTTTACATACTGAAAAAATATGTTTCTAGATAATACATGTAATATGAAAACATTTTCATCCCCAGGATATGTTTTAGGTATGACAAGTTTTCATTCCCAGGATATGTTTTAGGTATGACAAGTTATTCCCAGGATATGTTTTAGGTATGACAGGTTATTCCCAGGATATGTTTTAGATATGACAGGTTATTCAGATAACATCTTTTTGCCATACCATTTTATTCTTTGCTTTACAAAACAATGGCACTGATTTTTTTCAAAGAATAACTTACCAGAACACTTGCGATTCTTTCATGAGAAAAAAATAAAACATTGTCAGCTAAATAATCAATCTCTTCTCTTTCGGGGTGGCCCATTTCATTGCAGTTAGGCAATTATTGGCTCCAGGAAAATTCAATGAAAAAAGATGTATGAAATATAGAATTAATCATGGCAGAAATCATGAATACTGCATGATGCTGTAACTTCTAGTTCTAAGATAATTGCCTTTCTGCACATACCACTCTACCAGAATAGTTAGGGAGTACAACTTTTGGGGATAAGCATTTATAAAATGTCTGCGTTAGGTAGTTGACTATTGTCAGGGTTAACCTATCAACAGCTGGGGTCATTTGAGGCTGTGACTGTTGTCATGAATGTACTTACTTTTCTCCACCTCAGGTTTCAACCTTTTATTTTTTATCAGTATTTTACGTCTAAGTTGATTTGGGGAAGGAAGTGCTACTCCTGGTTCAAGCTGAAATTTTGTAAAAGGTAAAATGTCTAAGATTCAAAAAGGACATGACATAAGATTCGACACAACTTTTCCTAAGACCGAATGAAGGCGAACAGGAGCCCGAAGAATTTCAACGAGTTCTACATGAATTCTATGAAATTTGGTAAAATGTTTGATTGGTGATATTCCATGTTGATGCGTAAAATAACAATCTCTTTTAAAACAATCTCTATATCTTTGAATCTTTCCAATACTTCTGGATTGAATCTGAAATGATTTAAGCACACAATCGTAGAAAGAGTAAAACAGAAACTATTATCTTATTTAATTTACGCCTGGAGAGACAGTATTATAGAACATAAGTTTTTGATGCATCTGCCATTGCACATTACCGGGACCGAGTCGAGGGGTCGCTTCAACAAGAAGTCACCGAGGATATCCTCACAATACTTGGCCATCTTGTACTGCTGAGGTTTGCTATTATGAGAAAAAGCATGGAATTATTGTCCCTAATCTTAACAAAAAATATGAAACGAGAATGTCCTGATAACAGTTTACATGTCAGTACGAAGAATTTCTCCATCAAAATTTACCAGTAAACCACAATCTATTTAGCTACAATCTGTCAAGTTAGCTACAATCTATCAAGTTAGCTACAATCAGATTAGGTACAATTTAGTTACCGTAAAAACCCATGTAATTTGCGCAGGTACTTTTTGAGGCTGAAAAACCCCAAAAAAGCTTCTACTCGAATATTTTGCGCACCAAAAAAAAAAGAAAAAAAAAGGTTCAAGTTCCGGGATATAAGTAAGTTCATAAGTATTGTTAACAGATACAATGATGTTAAAACTAAGAAGAAACTGCTTAAAAAGTGTATTTTGTTGTTTGTTCAGACAATTAATAAGTAATTTGACGTTTAGTAACCGCTGGTTAATATCTCCTGGTGAAAGACATAATAAGATACCTTTTATTGATCATAATTACGATCAGTGAGAAGGGCTCATCATGGCGGCTTGGGTATCGTCACTTCAAACCAGGTGATGTCACTGTTCAGTTTGGCCACGGAATTAGATTATCTAAGTCCGTGGTTTGGCGATATTTTTTGGCCACACAATTTTTAGTACAGTAAAATCTACTGTCAAATTATTAAAATCGGTCATCTGTGGTCATGACTGCTGGTTTTGCGGCATTTACAGGTAAGTTAACAGGAGGGCATAATTTCTCCAATATCGTCTGGTCGTGGACAATAGGCCAGGTAGGATCGCATGCTTCAGCGAAATTATGGACACTTCTCAACACTACAGTCAATACAAATTACAATGGAGTAATTAGCTAACACTATATCTGTGATTACCCATTAACAATAGCTCTACTAATTGAAATGATTTGCAGTCGCGATCGACAGACGGGTTGTTGTTTTTTTCACTCACCAACACGTGGCGTGAATTACGAAGCCCTATAGCTACTGCATTGTCTATACAGACTGATTTGACCGATAAGGGATTATAAAAAAAAAAAATTAAAGCAGACTATTTTTACGATGCTTCATTTAATAAATATTGAAATAATTCACGAGGTTATTATCAATCACGTGTTTACGTAATGGTAGACGCGAGATCAACATGAAAATGAGCCGGGAAAAAAACATGCTGTACGCATAGGCGATTTGAAAAAAAAACCTAACAGAACTTACAAGGAACGGAGCTTAAATTGAACAACTAGGGCCTACATTTTCGTGATAGTATGGGGAAAATGCACCGAGATGTCGAAACGTAAGTTGATCAGCCATTCTCTGGCATAGGAATTTGGCTAAACTTTCTTTGTTAACGGTTACCTATTTAATAATGCTTTTCACATCAACTCAGGTAACAACACAGTATGTATCAATTGTATCTTTTATTGATGTTTGACCTAAACAAATGTGTTGATCGTCGTTTGTTTTTGAGTTCCGTGTACCAAGGGAGATTATCTCGTGTCCAAGATGGCGGTCTGCCAGAATCGTCGACCTTTTCATGAAAATAACTTCAAATTGCTTATACCTGTGTATTTTACGCAACCCCCACTTTGGGTATTAAATTTTTGAACAAAAAAGGCGCAAATTACATGGGTTTTTACGGTAGCTACAATCAGATTAGGTACGATTTAGTTAGCTACAATCAGATTAGGTACAATTTAATTAGCTACAATCGGATAAGGTACAATTTAGTTGGCTACAATCAGATAAGGTATGATTTAGTTAGCTACAATCAGATAAGGTACAATGAAGTTATCTACAATCTATCTAGTTAGCTACAATCAGATTAGGTACAATTTAGTTAGCTACAATCAGATAAGGTAAGGTACAATTTAGTTAGCTACAATCAGATATATGTGCAATTTAGTTAGCTACAATCAGATTAAGTATAATTTATTTAGCTACAATCTAGTTAGCTACAATCAGATTAGGTACAATTTAGTTAGTTAAAATTAGATAAGGTACAATTTAGTTAGCTACAATCAGATAAGGTACAATTTAGTTAGCTACAATCAGATAAGGTAAGGTACAATTTAGTTAGATACAATTAGATAAGGTACAATTTAGTTAGCTACAATCAGATAAGGTACGATTTAGTTAGCTTCAATCAGATTAGGTACGATTTAGTTAGCTAAAATCAGATAAGGTACAATTTAGTTAGCTACAATCAGATTAGGTACGATTTAGTTAGCTACAATCAGATTAGGTACAACTTAGTTAGCTAAAATCAGATAAGGTACAATTTAGTTAGCTACAATCAGATAAGGTACAA